CTGCTTTCTCGTTTTTCCAGTGTATCCCCAGAAGCAGCAGTACGCGTACCCCGGATATCCGGCACCGGCGGCGTATCCGGGCCCGTATTATCACGGCTCTCAGTACGGGCCCTACAACTACTGAAGGAACTCGGCCGGTCGGCATCGGAGGAAAGAAAGCATCCCGGGCGCGCTCACGCTCGCCCAACGTTGTCGAACATTCTCTATAGTAGCGTTACTTAGCCGGACGAGGACCGGAAACATTCGCAAAAATCCGAGAGACTCGCCGAGGTCGACTCGTGATCGCGATGATGAGGGATCGATCGTCTCGATCGATTCGAGTCGCGACCGCGGAGTCCGACTTCGGATGTAATTTATTAATCAATCGGTGAAGCTAATTTCAAACGTGGCTGTACGACACGAGTATCGGATATTCGCACGTCACGAAACGTAAACAAAAGTAAGCTCTTCTCTTCCCGCGATAGACCGATCGTTTAGTTTCCTCCGACCGGAAGCAAGAACCCAGACAACACGAGGGGATCCAAAAAACGCTCGAGAGATCTCCCTTCAGGAGACTAGGACGTCCTCTCGGACGTTATCTCGACGTATTTTGGAGCACCCGCGTCGTCCGGAGGAACTCGACTTGCGCAAAACGGTTGCTCAAGACCCGCATACTTACACTTAGGGGCGAGATATCATTTTGTACTTTTCCAGTTTAAATAATAAGTAAGATATCGATCATCCTTTCATGCACATATCTTATTTCGGGCGTGCGCGCGCGCGCGCGTCAATGAATCGCAAAGACGCGAATTCGCCGCATTCGTCGCGCGTTGTTCCCGTTCACCGGAACTGCGATGCTCGATTTCTCGACCGGGCTTTCTCAAATGTTTCGTGAACGAACGTTCGTGAAAAGACGACGACGACGATGACGACGATTCGTCATCGTTCTCACATAAAAACGGGAGATCGATTCGGATGGCCGTCGTTCCGTCGGGCGGATTTAACGGACGTTACACGCTCCGAGGAAGCCCGGTAAGAACGGGCCGCGTGTCCTATAATTGAAATTCGATCGGCCACGTCGATCGGGTCCGTGAAGCTTAGCTCGCGTCGACGTCGCGTTTGCCTTTATTTATTTAACGCGAACGAGGGGGAGCTCAATCTCGAAGAGAGGACGGCCGTCGTCGAGTCGCGCGAGCGAAGCGGAAGGCGACGCAAATACGACATCATGCTCGTGAACGCTCACACTGGTAGTACCAAATATTAAATAAATATCTCGTCTAGGATCGTGAAAGGAGGGAAAAATTGTGTCGCCACTTTCGCGAGAGCGCTCGTTCGCCGCGAGTTCGGTTTAACCCTGTCGAATCTGACGGAATAATGGAGACCTCAGCTGAACATATTCAGGCACGGAAAATTGGACGGAAGAACCGCGACCTCGCCAGCACTTTCCGGTAATTCGCCCGTTTCCCTTTNACACGGAAAATTGGACGGAAACTGTAATTCTGATTCCCTCCGAGTCACTCTGTGTCGAAAGGGTTTCAGTGAGAGAATCTATCGTTCCAAATGTTGGAAAACGTGCACTTAATGAATAAATTATCCGAGTCGAAAGGGTTAAAATTTAATTTTTTCCGAACGAACTTAGCAATATTGTAGCGTGTAAATGCGTAACGTAAAAGTTTATATAATATATGGTGCTGCTATGGTCGTTACGTGATGACGATTCGCGAAGTTTGTGTCTAATACGTAGCTCTTCTGATAACGTCGATCTATAAGGTATATTACAACGATATCTCTATATAAGTCGTCTAAGGAACAAAGAAATACTTCAATTACTTAACACACGATGTTTCACGATAATTAAACTAAATCGTTTATTCTCCCTCGAGTCTTTCATTTTCACATGCAAACGGCACGTTTCACGTCAACTTTCTCCTCTAATTTATCTCTCGTCGATTTTCGTCCTTAGTAAGCAACAAAAAAAAGCAATATATTTGTAAAAAGAAAAAATAGGATCGCGTCGTTGATTATTATCGCGAAGATAGAATAAATTAAGTGTATCGTTAATTGTTGTAATCGCGTGATAAAGCGCTAAGTAGGATTTAGGAGTGAATATAAATATAAGAAAATTAAAGAAATGATAAAGTGGACTAGAATAAAAAACAGTGAGATTTCATGAAATCTTAGATATTGAATAATAAAATGAATAACGAAATGTATGAAATACAATTTGATACTCAACTTTTTAAACTTGTTATTACCTTCAAATATATTAATCCAACAGTCGTCTACACATAAGCGGAGGAAAAAATCACGTGTACACATCACTAAAGATTACAACACATATAACAATTCTGACATAATCCAGCACCATAAAATTTTTTAGTAGTTTTTACTACAATATTTTTTCCATGTACACCATGAATTCCATATTTAATTGTGACTTTATATATTACCTTTGTAAAATTTTACGAAATGTTTACAGTTTTATAATTTATAATGTACATTATATTATCTTAGTGATGAAATGAAAGAGAGATTCCAATAAAACCCGTTTGAAATGAAACGAAGAATGAGTATTGAAGACTGAGAATGAGTCGCTATTGCACGATGACGTGTTCAGCACATACGTGATCAATAATCAATTCTTTTCTCATTGATTAAATTCCAAGTCCAATGCACACAAGTTTAATTATTATTGCATAATCTGATAGAGCTCGTAGCTCGAGCTCTGTGCGATGTGGGATTGTACACAGATAAATGCCCTTACAGCACATTTTATCCTAAGAATATTTCAAATTGTCCCAGATTTCCAAATGCGATCCCACATATATCCCAATGTTCTAGACTAGTCTACTATTCCAAAATTTTACGATATCCTATTGAAATCGCGCAATATCCAAATATCCTGTCATATTTTTATATAATATATCTCACGCGATATCGTGTCGTCAATAATAATATAATTTAATACTACTTCGGCTCAGCGAAAGATGTACATCGAATCGATGTCAAATTGACGTTAAATTGACTTCGGAACAATCGAGATTACATCGAATCGGCGTCGATTTGACGAGTCATTTCTCGCTGGCGAATACTAGCACTACTATTCAAATATTAGTCTTATTCATATAAATGACGCTTGGTAAATAAAAAATGACCGATACACATGTGTTTAATAACATGTGTTTGTGCTACTTGAGTACATAATAATATATTTTATGATATTCCTTTAACTTCCTCGGATATTTTTCGTATATCGTTCAAGATATCCGTAAGATATCACATAGACGGATACTTACACATCTGCTGGATATCCAACGGATATCTGAGATATCCTATCTTAGGACTACTACTACTATCTTAGGATATCCTATGTTTATTACGATATCCCCCAAAATGATGTCTCTAGAACGTCATAGATAAAATATGCTATGTAGCCGGTGATTTTTCTTTCACGACAGAATGTAACAAATGAATATTTCAATCAATTTTATATACACTAATTCCAAAATCGACTGTTGTCGATCAGATTTCGGTTGTTTGTGCGGCTTTAACACGCGTTTAACGATAAATAAATAAAGTAGTTGGTAAATGGATGTAAAGATTTATATCGATCCATGCCACGTGCATGCGTGGGATTTAAACGTCAAGATGGCGCGAGCGCTGACGCGCTTGGCAACGCAACGCTCAGTTGACGCGCGACCGTTCCGGGAGTATGGGTGTGCTCGAGTTCGCACTATGCGTTTTCCTGGTTGGCGTCGCGTCGCCTTGCAAGGTGGACGCGAGTGGCCCGAGGGAGATAGCACTAAAGAACGAGAAAGTATGTAACGTATAAATATATATTTTATAACGCGGCACTACTTGTTTAACCTTCATCCTCTTTCTCCATTTTCGAGGGAGAGGAGGCTTCTTCATTATTTTCACCGCTCACCTGCGCCCATTGTGCCTCACCATGCGTGTACTGAACGTCGCTTCACACCCGTCGGCCCGAGTACGCCGCTCTGACGAGTCATTATTGTTACATGATTCCAGTATTATCATACAGCGGGCTCGCTGACGATCGAACAGATCGCCACGTTGTCCGACCTCACGAATATCACGCACATGAACGAGGTTCTGGACAACATATGCGTAGTCAGGATCGTGGGGACTCCTGCGCATGCGAGAGTCAGAGAGGTAAGGGGGAAGTGACACTTCTGACCTTTCGTCAAGGATATTGTTACTTATTAATTGGAAATTTAGAAATTAATTAGAAGTTTGTGTGGAGAAAAAACTCTCGAGAAGGCTCTGATGAAGCTTTGCATATTGTGAGAAAACTTATATAACTATGCGTGTGCATAGATATAATATGTATAGACAGCATGTATATAAAGTTCTAATGTCGTAATTGACAATATCTAATCTGTAGGCAAAATAAAAATGCATTTTTCCTTTTCAGTACATCAAGGGGTCAATGAATGCTCTTGGTTGGACGGTGGAATCAGACTTATTCGAAGCTAATACTCCGATGTTCGGCGAGCTGGAGTTTGAAAACATTATTGTCAAATTAAATCCTAATGCAAAGAGATATCTGGCATTGTCTTGTCACTTTGATTCTAAGTATACGAGGGAGAGGAACTTTGTTGGGGCGACAGATAGCGCCGTACCATGTGCTCAACTGATTAATTTAGCTACTGTCATGAATAATTCTTTGGAGAATATTAAAGAGGTAAGTCTCAATAAAAAGCATTAAAAGCATATGAAATGAACAGATCAGATAGGATTGAGGGATTAGGATCCCCTAAAATGTTCACATCTATTTCCAGCAAGATGTCAGTCTGATGTTTATTTTCTTTGACGGAGAAGAAGCATTTAAAGAATGGGGTCCGGATGACTCTATTTATGGTTCCAAGCATTTAGCCAGGCAATGGCATAACAAGAGGACTGTCTACGGCAGAGGAAATCATATCAATGAATTAGATAAAATGGTAAAAGTCGTGTTACTCTTAACACACTACCGATGTGTATAATTATTTTACTTTGTAAAATATGACACAACTGTTATCAAAACCGTATATGCTAAACGATCATTCGCCGTTTGCATAACATTTTGTTACAGGACATGTTGATCCTCCTTGACTTAATCGGCGCGCCAGACCCGACTTTCTACAATTATTTTAAGAACACCGAAAAGTGGTATTCTCTGTTGGTTAATATCGAGAAGAAATTAGCTGATTTGAAAAAATTGGAATCGTATTCGTACGGCAAACCGGAACAGAGGTACTTTCAACCGTATTCCTATGAGGCACGTATCGAAGACGATCATATCCCTTTTCTCAGAAGAAGTGAGTAGAGCAAATTATTTTTGTGGCTCAAATTATTTTATATTAAATATTGAGTATATATATACACGCTCTAATCAATATGGATGATATTTTTCAGATGTACCTATTCTACATATAATACCGAGTCCGTTTCCGTCCTTTTGGCATGAAGTAGGCGACAACCGGGCAAATATCGATTTAAAAACCACCGAAAATATTAACAAGATTCTCAGAATATTCGTGGCGTCTTATTTACATATATTGTCTAATTGACGTAAGTTCAAGAGAAAATCATACGGAAACGACATAGGACAGATCCTAATGCTTAATTTATATATTGCGGTTTAAGAACAATATCAAGAGAAATTACTTATGTGCACACACAGCATTAAGCTCATAAAACATGACATATCTCTGTCGGAATAAATTATTTGAATTTTAGATAACAAAAATATAGCTAAGAAATTAGAACTAAATCTCAATTGATCAAAAGCTAGTCTTTCATTGTCGCACGGAAGAAAAATTTGGTGGCATTAACCAGAAATATATATGGAACAACATATGCATTTTGGTCGAAAGAATTAGAATTTCTGGTTATATGAATTTGACTTATAAGAACCAGAAATTCTGTTTCCTTCAATCAAAATGCGGTTGTTCCCTTTCTGATTAATGCAACCAGACTTTTTTTCTGCGCATTTGTATGTTTTTAAATCTTTTGAAGTATCTGTTTTGCTACCTGTTTACCTGATAAAAACGTGATATATTATATGCGTAATTTTATAACGTAATATATTATAATGTGTAATTTTATAATGCGTGAGAATTATTTTATTAAGTCCGATTGTTTATATAATATAAATAAGTCAATTCTATAGTTATATAAATAGTTATATTTGGGACTGACCGTATTGAAAAAAACCGCAATATCAAAAAATTACTGGTATATTATTGGAAAACTATTGTTCTTCAATAGTATACCAGTAGTTTTTTCGTATTGTAGTTTTTGTCCGTACGAATGTATACATTCCTTATCTGAGCAGTTTTGAATACATTATAGCAACTTCACGTCTTACATCCTCGAGCTATTAAATTTTCTCATTTCCAAATTCCCAAGAATTTATTTCATGTGCGTGCATCGCTCAAGTAAAATTAAAAAAATGTATAAATCAGGTATTTTTCATCGCGAGCGAGGTATCAAAGAGCGATTTGGAAGTCGTGAGTTCGTGCAGGAAATTGCGGAAACTCGAATGCGTGACGTCCTGTTACATGCTTGGAATGAATTGATATAATGCAAGTGTGTTTTTTTCCACGTATCCTCACCGATGCACACACACGAACATCTATTATACGGTTGAAAACAACGAACGACACTTCAGTTAAAACAACCACAAACGTGGCGCTCAAGTTTTAGTCCAATCAACACCAAGCACCAATTACATTATAACTACAAATATTATATAACATTTACATTGTTGAGTGCAAAATTATAACGTAGATGTAATGCAATCGATGTTCAGTGTCGGATTGAGAATATTACTATTAGAACATTATTCGCATATTTCTTTTGCGAATTTTAACGAAGACATGACAGCGATATTCACCTCTCATCATTTCACGGAGATACTTCATTAATGCGACGAAAATCGTCCTGAACATTTTGCATCTTCGTGGGAAGAAGAAAATGGTGCGTTTGAGCGGGAAAGTTGGTAACGGCGAATACGTTGAACATTCGAATGTTCCGTTGGAAGGCGCACGTACAAATCCGCGTTCATCACGCATCGAACGGAGAACGGTACGGCCGCGTGCGATATTCCGCGTGGAAATATTTAACGCGCCGCCGAAATGCCGGTCATTCGAGAGAGCGATAATACATTTGTCAGAACGCAAATTACGAATATCAACGCGAGTTTACTCGCCACGATCAATGGCGGATCCGTTTTTCCGGAAGAGACGCTTTCATCGTCGTCGTCATCGTGTCGAAAGAGAAACGTAACCCACGTACCTAAACGTCACGCGTATTTCTCCGCTCGGTCGACAAGATTCTCTCGCGTCCGTAAGCGAATCCCGGCGGTTGAGACGAGAAGAGAACCGAAGGAAACCGCTCGAACGCTCGGCTTAGGTTGGCAATGGCGGGTCCTGAGGTCATTGTTCGTTCGGACGCGCCCGCCGAGCGCCGCGCACTCGAGCGACACCGAGCGTCGGCGATCTCGGCCGAGCGCGGGCGAACGCTCTCGAAGCCCGGCGAGCGAGCGAGGCGACGCGACAAGACGGCGAGAGAGACGCGAGAGAGTGAACGCGAGCGAGCGACGTGGAGAGAGAGTGCGCGTCTCCATGCCCCGTGGCGTTTTCTTCTCTCGATGGTTTTGCCATTCGCTCCGTCGCAGCATCGCACGTTCCGCGGCGGCCCCGAGAGGCACACCGTCGTAGCGCATCGTCCGTTGTCCACGCGAACGAACGCACAGGGCGAAACGGATGTCCGCGGAGGCGAGAACATTCGCGGCGATACACGGCTGACAGACACGCATCGAGCGTGAGTGAGTGAAAGAGAAAGAAGGATCGACGCGTCGACGACGACGACACGACGGTGAAGCACGGTGAGTGGCGCGGAGTGGGAAAGGCGAGATACGCAGTAAGGATTCTCGGCGGCGGTGAAAGAGACAGAAAGAAAGAAGAAGGGACACTCACTGACGTGTGCGGGCGTGTTCTCGGAGACGTGCGCGCGCGCGCGAGACGGACGAACACGAACGAACGCTCCCCGGGAAAACGTCCTCTCGGGTGGAAAACGCGGCAGCGTAACCGTGCGCCGCCGCCGGTCGCCTTCAACGACATTCATGTGACGTGACGAGAGCCGATACCCAGTCGTGCCTGCCTGCCGAGGAGGGAGACGACCCCGAGTGGAGTTGGACGAACGCCGAGAAGCCGGGCCAACGGCGGACTCAAGATGCTCAAGTTCATCAGGGGGAAGGGCCAGCAGCCGACGGCCGAGCGACAGAAGCTGCAGAAGGATCTCTTCGCTTTCCGAAAGGTAAGAGCGAAAGGGAGTGAGAGCGAGCGAGAGAGAGAGAGAACGAGACATTTGCACCGGGCGAGAACCTTCTCGCCCACACCCGGTGCGAAACTCGCCGCGAATACGACGCGTATGGGCGCGGGATGAACGCCGCTACACCGGGGGGCGGTGTTGCCAGGTCAGTTCGATCGAGCTTGTTTGAATCGGTCATTCAGGAAAGAGAGAGAGAGATTGTTTCAACGGATTTTGTTTTCCAGAGGACGCGGTACATCTGGAGGTGTAGTAATTTTCAGAAGGTGCGAGAGAAGAGAGGTACACGCGTCTGTATTGGGGCGAGAGCGTTCAGCAATCTGTTATTATCGTATTCCCGAGCCGAATACCTTGAGATACACAATCTGCCCCAGGCATGTTTCTTTACATCTCCCCCGGTGACGGGCTTTGGCTTTATCACGCTCCCAAAACCAACTTACCTGTGAGCCTGAAACGCAGCTTGCTTCCGCGGCGGGTAGCGCGAAAGTACCGGAATTTCGACGCAAGGACGTTTCCGATATTGCCTCCGGAACGTGATCACAGAAATTTGCCGGGGAGGAAGCGAGAACGAGAAAGCGAGGCTGCACTTTTTTATTTGAACAATTGCGAATCGAGGAATTTGCATGTTGCGGAGAATTTTGCTTTTCTGGCAACACTGGACGGCGGTGAGCCTCTCTCTCTCTCTCTTTCTTTCTCTCCGCGCTCAGACAGGTTCGAGCGATTCGTTTCGCCGGGAATATCGGGTTACCGTTGTGTGTACCAATGGTATCTTTTTATCATGTCTGCCCGCGTACTCCTCTCTTCTGCCTCCTCGATGCTTGTGTACGCACGCACGTTACAGCGCGTGGTTTATTTATTTGTCCGCGAATACGGCGTAACAATTTGGACAATGCGGCACAAGCTCGCGCGAGCCGATGCATGTGCATGCACTCGCGCACGCTTGGTTTCCGCGATCGATTTATATCTCCCCTCTTGCTTGGTTTTTGCCCGCCGAAACGCGTGTTCCACGTTTTCCGCGGGAGTTAATTTAGCAGCGGAGTGCGCGGCAGACCGTTACCGTACACCGGGTACCGTAACAGTTTGTTTAATCAGCGATTACGGTTTTATAATTGACGCGAGAGGATCTTAGCGCGCGCGCGCGCGAGTACAGGGTGTGTCGGGAGGGGGGGGGGGGGAGTAAACGCGCGCCGTTGCGAAACTCCAAAGTCGGATTTTCTCCCGGCGGGAAATTGCCGCGGCGAAATTGTTATTTTCTTCTCTCTCTCTCTCGCTCTCGCTCGCGTATGTTGAATTTAACGTTTCCCTCAGAACTACATCTGCTTGAAGTGCGTACGGCTTGAAGTACATACGGCACACGTACCGTGTTACTCACTTGAATTTCTGGAGCATAACTCGGGAGAAAAATATTACAATTTTCCGATGCTCATTTTCCACATCTCTGCTGGGAGAACTCGAAGTCTCACGAGGAACGATGCGGTATCTCCGTCTCCCGTCAATTTCGGGGTGCACTGTGTATTACATTTATCATATGTGATGAGGTTACTTTGCATTATTGCATCGCCGCTCGAAACGAATTGTCCTCGTGGAAACAAAATCCAATTGAAGTCCGACGTTAGTCAAGTCGTGCTGTATTCCTTCTTTTTCCTTATCACACGTATCGTGTGATTATACATCGCGCAACAAAGTTTTGGCAAAATCTTTTGTCAAGTTTTTTCAAAAATTTATGTTTAGAAATCCATTCGTGGAATCGATTTCCACATGTACGAGAATCGTCTCTTTTCCCGAAGTTATTCAGTGAGTTATCAAACGCGTTACAGTTATTATGAAATAACTCTACCTTGCGGAATTATATAAAAGAGTATCAAAAATTATAATTCCTCGCAAGTATCTCGTGCTTTAACTGTACATGTGCATCCCGCTATCTACGGGTTCGTCGAAGTTCTGCGGAAGAGTTCTGAAAATATATCTTGTGTCATTTTGCCGTCGATTATCTCGTCGAGATAAACCATTCGAACGACGAATTTATTTTTATGAAACGTGGATCGGCGAAGGATAGGATGTATTTGCGAGACGTTGCTCGATAATACCGCAAATGGTTAATCGCGAGTCGCGGTATTCGTGTGTCAGGCCCGGACTTTGGTTCGTCAATTTGCATTATTCATTTTTGCGGGCGTCGCTCGATTCCTTACCGCAAGTATTCGTGCATTGATCGCATTCGCAATCACGGGTGGTTTGAAAGTCAATGTGACACCTGACGTGTCGAGAAACGCGTTTGCTCATTCGTGAAGAGCCGCCAACTTTTGCAGCCAAAATACGATTTTTTAAAAACAGATATAATGGTTGCAAAATCCAAGCGGGTTGGTTGTTCAAGTATCGCGCGTAGAAAAAAAATCTGGTTACATTCCAAGTGTCAGAAAGTGAGCAACCGGATGCGTTTTGGTTGAAGGGAAAAGAGTTTCTGATTCTTATGACCCAAGTATGTCTTATAATCAGAAATTCTGTTTTCCTCGACCAAAACGCGCCTGATTGTTTACTTACTGGTTAATGCAGATTTTTTTCCGTACGAGAAAGCCAAAATCCCAAGGTATATTTATTAGCTGAACTGTTCAGAATGCAATGCAGTAAATTCATTACATGTTTTGTTTAATTTTATAAGACATATGCGTCATGTTATATATATATATATACGTACAAAAAAACTCCGTTTGTCGTAACATCAGATATTCTCGGATCTTTTAATAGATAAAGTTTAATATAACAAGTCTGTTACTTTCCGTACTGTGTTATCTGTACGTATCTTGATTGTTAATCGCCGAGCTGATAACTTAAATTTCCTCTTCATAATCTGTCACGGACCTATACTGATGTATGACGAAGATTGATTTTTTAATTAATTCGTTAATTCGTTTTCCTCTTTAAAGACATAGTGAACCTAAATCACAATTATAGTGCTTATTTGTTTACATATTATACTAATATAAAGCAACTATTATATTTTTCCTCTATCAATTTAAAGTGGGACTGATTATGCAACATATGATCTGCGAGAACGAGTTTTAGAAATCGCCTTTTTGGAAAGACTTTGCCAGTAGTGTTTTACTCCGTCGTTATATAACAGAAATAATCACTAGAATTATAATTCATTCGACGCGCCTTCTCAGAGGAAATAACATGCCAAAATTGTCTTAATTATAATCGTATTAAATCAAGATATCGATATCAAACTTCAAAGCTTCAAGAACAATACTCAGCCGTATATTACAAATTATATCTTAATTGATTCCCATGAAATCAACACGTTGGGAATTTCTTTTCTGATAAAAGCAGCATAGAAACTTCGTGACTCGGTTCTCGATGATCTCTTACTTATTGCCTGCGGATAACATGTTTTAGAAGCGACGAAAGAATAGCCATTAGGTTGCACGTTAGGTAATAATGAAGTATGGAACATTCGACGGACAATAACTGCTCAGGTGTTGCGCAATTGTGCTCTTTGTTGAAGGCGGCCGTTTTTCACCGCGATCCGCCGGACGGGGCACAATCGAGCGTTTGGTGAGAGATGAACGCGCCTCGCATTAGGTGCACACGCGAAAATCGCGTCGCCGGCTGATAATTTCCTGCCGATGCGCCCGTGTAATCTGCAGGAAACGTCGAATCTACTTATCAGTCGCGGCGACGCGAACGACAGTGCACGGTTCTTGAAGCGAATTGCACGAAGTCAACAGGTCGATATTACACCTCCGACAGAAACAATTGTAGTCATCTTTTCTCCTAATAGTTGAAAATTTCGAATTTTATGTGCCATGATTTCAAGAAAATTTGAAGAAAGAATTGAACTAGTTCATGTAGATGAGAACAATCATTTCAAATTTATATTGCAATTTTCATATTCCGTGGTTTTTTGCTCATACTCTTACTTTTTTACTTACCTTTTTTCGTACTTTTTTGCTTGTTACGTATTCTGAATAGCGACTTTAAAATAACTTTACCGAGCAATAAAACCATTAATTAATATGCGAAACTATCATTGTTTTCTGTACTTCTTCAACACACTTGCCGATACAATAGGCACGCATGTATACCTAGCGCTTATTGCATGCTTTGACGTACCAGTGCCTGACGTTGTGACGCACTGCGTCGAGTGCATTATCGTGAAACCCTATAGCGATCTAATTCCCTGCGCTGTGGATTCTCGAAGAAGTACCACGAAGTACATCACGTAAATGCCCCGGTGGTAATTCAGGTCGCCCTGACGACCACGGATCCCATTGACAAACACGGTTTACAAAGCTAACTCGACGACGCATTTAGTGCTATTTTCTTATTTTTTTCTTGTGCTATAATCGTCCAAGTTAGTTAAGTTTAATTCAATGTACATCTTATTATTATTACTCTTTCTGTAATAATAAAAAAAGAAAATGACTCGAGGAGTGTTAATATATTAGCATAAATAAAATAATTAAGTTGGATCCCATCAGACCATCTTCTCAGGAATCCTTTTAGTTACTTATTAATGGAAATGCTTCTTACATGTCTGTAAAGTTAGAAGACGATTGACCATTCAGAAATGATATTCGCAACTAAAAATAACATTTTCTTTATACGTTCCTTGAGGTTAATGTCCTATTTTTAATTTTAATTTTTAATTCCTTCTAAACTACTTTTAGGATTTTAATGAAAAACTATTGTGATATTAAATATTAATATAGAGATATTTTACAAAAATTCCAGATTTTTTTTTAATAAATATAACCATAAGAAATTTATAATTTATAATAATAAGCGCGGTATACACATATGTATGTATATATACACATATTTAAATATTGATATACCACTTTCTCTATTAAGTGTGCACCTTTGTTAACTGCCGTGTAAATAAAGCATCAATAAGAAAAATAAAACATCTCCGTATATCTTCGTATTTGTAAATATTGTGTATATATTTATCTTAATTTCGCTCAAAATTACCATTTATTATTTAGATTGTTAAATAAACTTATAGAGAATTTTTTTTTCCCAGTAAATAAACTCGTGAAAAGGAACTCTTAATATCCCTGGTGATAATCAGATACCACGGACCAACTACCGGAATGTGACACAATTTTTGGAACATTCAATATATTTCCTCCATACTTAAACCCATGTCCCGATACCTAAATGACAAGAAAGTTTAATACTCACGGAATATTGATAACAGGCGGCTATATTGATATTTACAGTTCAAATAAAATACGATAAGGCTATTTTGTGGACCATCCCTTTTCTCTCCTGTTTGTTTAGGCACGTTTATTAGGTCAATATTTTACTTACCGTACAACCAGATCGTCATTTTCTATCTTAAAACCTTTTCTGAGTAAAAATTAAGCCTTTTGTCAGAAAGATTAGTTCTTTCTCTCTAGGTTTTATGTGTCAACAATTAATTTATATATCAAGTTCTACCAAGACAATTTGTTTCAAAAAAGAATTTCTTTCATAAAACTTGACGTGTAAATGCACTGTTCATGATAACTTATGCTGATATTTAACAGTTCATTGGCGCAGTAAAGCAAAAGCGGTTCAGTCAACCTGATGTTTGTTTGAACGATCTCTTTTTCAGCGTGAGTATGCAAACGACTCGAATAATTCGAAAACAGCGGCACAAAAAAGTGTCCATTCGTGATGTACATTCGCGCTCTTCTGAGAGAAAAAAAAACTGACGTAGAAGTGTAACAAAAAAGAAGCAACCTTGTGCTTCATTTCGCAGACGTGCAGAATTAACATTCGCCAACGGTTCACGTATCGTTACTCGCATAGCGATCATGAACCGTATCCCTCCCTCTTCCCTCCTTCCATATCGAAGTTCGTAAACAACTTGCCAACATCTCGACCGCTACAAAGTTGTTCCCGCATCCTCATCTTTTAGTGAATATTATATAAAAATGCTGCGTCGAATACACTGTAATACACAATAAATTCATGTTGCGTTGTAGAATTTTCCCTATTGGTATTTGAAAAAAGTTACTAACTTTTATATCCACTACATTTGTGTAAGTTCACTTAATTAGAAACCTAAATCGTTTAATGCAATAGTGTCTAAGTGACTTTTGGAGGGTGAAGTTTGGATCAAAAGATCAATCTAAAAGATAAAATTATATCTGGATTAATTTCTGGAAATTCTTAAAAGAAAGAAGGGGAGGTTTACATTATTTTAGCACTAACCTCATCAATCGCGGTTCCCTTGAGTATTCGAGATGAATCAAAAACCTTTCGACGCCTCTTCCTCCGAAACAGAGTCCTCCTTATGCGTCTTACGTGTGTTTGTATTGATGTTCGCGAAGTTCAACGCGAGGATTCGACTTAAAATAACTTAGTCTCGGAGAGACACGCGCCTCTTTGTTGCGCGAAGACTACCAGTATGCAGCCTCGTCTCATCTTAACTCTGGCGTCGGTGGCTAGCAAAACTCGCAGGTAGTGACACCCTTTCTCATGGAAATGGCCAAGGTCTCCCGGGCCACCCGTTTCCCCTAATCGGGCGCGACTGAAACGTTGAGTTATCTCAGGTCGATACTGTCGGGAGTCGTCCTTTGAAAATCTCACTGTCATCAGAGATTCGTTATTTTCAGGTAAAAACAATCTTTCCTCTCATTGTTGTAGGTCCTCTCATTGTTGTAGATGCGGTTTTCTCTACTATCTGGTCACGTAGTAATATTAAAAATATCGTCGCAGTCTGTCGTGTAAATTCGTTATTGCATCAATGGTGGTTGGAACGAAAATCTCAACAACTCCCACGAACGATTCGGTAACTTGATTTAGGATCTCGATCGATTTGCAAACTGTTTTCTTCCGATTGTGTTTATTATTTTATTCAACGTCTTCTCTTCGAAAAAAATCTTCAAAAAAAGTTGAAAAGTCTTCGAAAAAAAATTAAAAAGTCAATTTGTGATGAAAGTATAACATCAGGTACTACGTGTTTATCCTAACGTTAATCTTAATATGCATTGGTTGTTTCAAATTAAAAAGTACCGGTTAAGTAGAGTTTGCGCGTACTTAAACGAGTAACGAGTTTTTTTTATTAATTAATTTCTATCCTAGAAGATCCGCTTTACGACAACTTCTTCAAGTATCTCTCTTCGCTCCTAACTCGGAAACTGCTGATTCTTCAGTACCCAATAAGAAATAATATCAAGTGGGAAAGAATGTCGAAAAATCTGTAGTTAAACTCGAAGCGAAGATTCCGGCATATTTGGCGATTGGTATTTACGAATCGATGAGAACCTATCGAGAGTTCAGATGTTCCAGGATGTATCCTGGTTATATCTTGCGAGAGAGTTGTAATTGACTGTGGGAGGAGGCGAAAATAAATGAGCTACACGAGTTTATCGACGTCCGCGTAACAACGATATTTCATCGATACCATGCTCGAGCGATGCTTAATTAATTCACCGCTGGTTTTTTGAAGGCATATACACAGAGAACAAATTTCTTTGAATTTAATAAAATCTTTTTAATTGAAACAAATTTGTCTTTTGGAATGGAGCAAACAATCGAATGTTTGATTTAACAAACAGGTTGGTTTCTCAAACAATAAATATTTTTACGTCAAACAACATATTTCTTTTGTATTTTCATCCAAATATTACAATGGTTGTCACAATCAACAAGTTACTTATTTAATAATTATTTAAAAGACTACGTTTAACACTGCGTTAGAAAAATATTAAAGAACTTTTTTTATTTGGTGAAACAATATTTAGTATATAATGAAATAATTTTTTTTATTCAAAACACGAAATCTATATAATTTATTTTAAATAATATTACTTTTTTTTATCAAACAACATTTACTCTAGTGAAACATTTTCATTCAAACAAAATGATGTTTGATATAAGATCATATTGTTTATATTAAACAAATTCAAGTCAAACACGTATATTAAATTCAAAGAAACCTTTTTTTCTAGATACCGTTACCGCATCACATACGTCGCCTTGTATGTTCACGTACTACGCACGTGTACGATAAACAAGTTCGATTAACGGGCGCTGTCAAAATCTGACTCATCGCGAAAGACTCGATGACTAATTCGTTACCTTCGATTTTTTCGCCTAAATCAGTATTAACATCGTTATTAGATATCTCGGGATCCTTCAACACAGTTCTCGGTTATAATAGATCGAGTAACGGAAAATGATTGTAGAGCTATACATGTAAAGATTAAGAAAATATGATAATTTATTAACGAGTATTGAAAATATGATAATTTATTAACGAGTATCGATCAGAAAACTAAAACGAGTACGCAAAGTCATTTTTGTGCTGGGATGAATAAAGTAGTGATTTTACAATTAGGAATTAAGGATATTAATTTTCCAAAATTGTCGCGATTCTCATTGGATGTAGCTATAATTTCACAATATCTTTGTAGCGATTATCAGATTTATTATTGAATTATATCGTATCGTTCTATCTTTGCATCCCAGTTCGGAATATAATTATCGATCCTGGTAACAAAGATGGGCGTTAAAAATTACCTCAAATAATGAAACACGATGAGCATTCGAAAAATAAATGTGTTTGCGACGTCGGGAAATCGATAACGAGGTCAGCGTCACTAATCATCCACTCTTACTTACAGACGGTGCAGCATGGTTTCCCGAACAAGCCAACCGCTCTCGCCTGGGATCCGAGTTTGCGTCTGATGATCATCGGCACGGCATCCGGCGCCATCAAGGTGTATCCTTTTGCTTTTCTTGCTCCTCGCCTTCGTCTGCCTCGCTTTCTTTTCGTCCGGTATTTATAATCTGGTCCCGAGGCAACCGCCACAGCTCGATGACGTACATATCGATCTATTAATCCTCGAAAAGCTTTATTCAGGAAGAGAGAATTACTTCGGATCAATTATTCGATAATTGACACGTGCGATTTACAAATTTCAATTTCGCAGCTTTCTCAGAAATCTTTTTTATTGTTATTTTTGTTATTATTTGAAACGTAAATACTTGCTGGACTGGAAAGAGCATCCGGAATTTTTAGTTACATTTTATCGGGTCGTGCCGAAAATAGAGGATTAATATCCTTTATAATCGGGAGGCATTATCGTTACAGAAATATCGTTCGGCCGTATTATATTTTACGGCCTTTTTATTGCCGCAATGGAAAAATCTATTTTACGGCGCCGTGCGAGCGATTGCCTAACAAAGGCTCCGTATAAATCAATTGCGATGTATTTCATAAACCTGCGCTCCGGCTGGAACAGGGCGTTATTGAAGAAACGTTAAATCACTTCGTTCACGCGTAATCTCGCGTTCTATGCAAATGCAGTCGTTTCCAACTGAGAGATTCACTGCAACGTTGGTTCGATTTACTTTCTTCCAACAATTCGAGCGACGTAAGACTTTCTTAGCACACGGAAACTTTTTTTTTCTCCGGTGCTGCTGGTAAAATTTAGGTCAATGATATACTTAACTCTTCAATTAAGAGCGCTTGCATAATACAAGATCCCCAGTTCGGATATCGACTGTAAAAGATATCTTTAATGCAATGCAACGTTCGATTGAGACATTCGACTTTAAAAGGCTGTTGACATTCTGACTAACTTTATTATTCTCTTACTCAAAGAATGCGGTATTTCACACTAGACGAGTCTTCGACCGTCGAACAACAAACGATCAAACGAGATTACGACATTCTACAGAGTCGCCAGAAGAAAGGAATCGGCGGGATTCTATTTTGTAACATTTCCTTGCTCTCGTTTCGTGACTCTGTTTGGCCTTCACTCGCCTAATCTGCACGTGGGCGCCTGAATTATCGACCCAACGAAAAACCCATTTGCAATATTCAGTGGAAATTGCACAACGATACAACCCCGAACGAGTGCGCTTTTTTTTAAACGCTGATTTGAGCATCGTCGCCCGATCGGATCGAATCAATTAGTCAGTACGAACGTCAAAAATTAAATTATGTCCCACTTCCACGGAAAAGTTCGATTTTTAAGATAGTTGGCTCGTAAATTTATTTTTTTTTTAGGAATCTTTATAAATTAGGAATCTTTATAAATTTTAACAATATGTTGATCGAGACACGATCTACACATGTGTAAAATTAGAAAAAGACTGACCCATACTGAAGCTGAGATAATTTAAGTCAAAATTAGCACTGTTTATATATATCACAGGTACAAAAATGACTTGCAATATTATATTTTTAATTCTAACAACCGAATTGTTCTTACGATTTTAATGAAAAACGAGAAGACAATAAAAGAGATTTGTAGAAATATTATAAAAAAGTTACAAGATCGTTGACCATCTAGAAAACCAAGAAAAAGTCAAGAAATCTCAAAATTCTTGATGATGATTAACTTGTCAAGCTAATCTGTAAAAACTTGAGAATATTGTATTTTCCTTCGTGCTTCTTGGTTATGCATCTCCTTAAAGATATGAAGGAATGGTTAAATAACCTTAAAGATTTGCGATCAATACGAGTAAAAATGCAAAGAACATAAAGAGAGATACGAAGAACTCCGACGTCACGATTATAAAACATACGATTAATACGGGCAATCCCAGCCAAAAATATCATACGTCAAAACGTGAAAAACGATTATCTCTTTATGAGATTTTTTCTTCTTTTTTTAACATTATGCAAGTTTGATTGATACTCTTTTGCTATATCGTGTCAAATCTGTACATCATAAATCATGTTTACAAACATTCAGCACAGAATTGTCAAGTTTTTCGTTGTATCAACCATCAGATTTTCTAACAGTATCGTTACGGACCAACTACTTTAAAAGAAACATCTCGTATCGACATACGATTCATACGTATCGTTTCCTTTCATATATACGTTTTTTTTTTTTTTTTTTTTTTTTTTTTTTTTTTTTTTTTTTTTTTTTTTTTTTTTTTTTTTTTTTTTTTTTTTTTTTTTTTTTTTTTTTTTTTTTTTTTTTTTTTTTTTTTTTTTTTTTTTTTTTTTTTTTTTTTTTTTTTTTTTTTTTTTTTTTTTTTTTTTTTTTTTTTTTTTTTTTTTTTTTTTTTTTTTTTTTTTTTTTTTTTTTTTTTTTTTTTTTTTTTTTTTTTTTTTTTTTTTTTTTTTTTTTTTTTTTTTTTTTTTTTTTTTTTTTTTTTTTTTTTTTTTTTTTTTTTTTTTTTTTTTTTTTTTTTTTTTTTTTTTTTTTTTTTTTTTTTTTTTTTTTTTTTTTTTTTTTTTTTTTTTTTTTTTTTTTTTTTTTTTTTTTTTTTTTTTTTTTTTTTTTTTTTTTTTTTTTTTTTTTTTTTTTTTTTTTTTTTTTTTTTTTTTTTTTTTTTTTTTTTTTTTTTTTTTTTTTTTTTTTTTTTTTTTTTTTTTTTTTTTTTTTTTTTTTTTTTTTTTTTTTTTTTTTTTTTTTTTTTTTTTTTTTTTTTTTTTTTTTTTTTTTTTTTTTTTTTTTTTTTTTTTTTTTTTTTTTTTTTTTTTTTTTTTTTTTTTTTTTTTTTTTTTTTTTTTTTTTTTTTTTTTTTTTTTTTTTTTTTTTTTTTTTTTTTTTTTTTTTTTTTTTTTTTTTTTTTTTTTTTTTTTTTTTTTTTTTTTTTTTTTTTTTTTTTTTTTTTTTTTTTTTTTTTTTTTTTTTTTTTTTTTTTTTTTTTTTTTTTTTTTTTTTTTTTTTTTTTTTTTTTTTTTTTTTTTTTTTTTTTTTTTTTTTTTTTTTTTTTTTTTTTTTTTTTTTTTTTTTTTTTTTTTTTTTTTTTTTTTTTTTTTTTTTTTTTTTTTTTTTTTTTTTTTTTTTTTTTTTTTTTTTTTTTTTTTTTTTTTTTTTTTTTTTTTTTTTTTTTTTTTAAATCGAATCTCTTAATCGTATCGCGCGTAGAGAGGAACTAAGCGGAATGTCATGTGTGACGAAATTATCAACGCGTCAGCGAGTGCGCGCGTTCGCCGGCGGTTTAAGCCGTTTTAGTGCCGTGGCAATCGCTCACAGTCGGCAGATGCTTCCAAGGACTACGTAATCGTCAGATAATCATTATTATTTCGCAATACATACACGTATGGTTTATCTATACGCGACGGCACACCTCATCGAGTAAGGCAGCCTCGTGAACGCGCAACCGGCGACGCGCGTGTATCACGTTTTATTAATCCGTCGACACGTCGGCTACATTTGAACGTAATCAAGCCTCTTGAACTTTTTCCGCAACGCGGAGAAGCACGGAGCGACGATGCTCTATCTGGTTTCCGTTTTTAGACACGACGTGGCTTTCTACGAGGCCAAACCGACGAGCATGTTTTTCGTGCCGCGCCTATGAGAACTCGGCTCTCGAGTAGATTTTTCAAGAATCAGGTGCGACCCCGAGTCGAAATCCAAGTCGGAAGAGTCGTTCGTTAACGATATGCGCGTGCTATGCGACGTCGCGTGGTCACAGAAAATATTGATCGAAAACTTGGAAGTAGGTGACACCTCTCTCGCCAAGCGAGAGAGAGAGAGAGAGAGAGAATATCGCGCGCAATGCTGCGGAATGTTAATTTGCGAGTCGAAAACTCCTATATTCGATTACCTGGCGCACCCATGGGAGATGACGTCATATGAAAAATTTTGTCGAATCGCGTGCCAAATCAAGAATCGCTAAATCTAAACTACTCCGCGTTCTCCGGATTTTCGATTACGATTCAAGTAAGTTAACGCGCGTTGTTTGCATTCTCAGAATCGCAAACTTTGCGATCGACAATTCACCGTTTCGTCAAACGCGAGTCTCCGTTGTCAGCACATTAAATGGGTCGTTCGGATTCTTGACCCGTTTTCTCGCAACGCTTGACGCTTATCTTGTTTCATCTTTTATTTCGTGTAATATTTAATATCTGATTCCTTGACTCCATTATCGCTGTAGTTTCGGGCGACCAGGTGTAGAGTTCTATGGACAACATTCCGTCGAAAGCGGTGAGAATGCCGTCACGAAGATCGTCGCACTGCCGAACGAGGTGAGATAATTGACACGTTCATTATAACAGCGCAATTTTCTCAGCCAGCTCGAGTTAGAACGTCTCGAATAAGTGTAGCGAGATTTCCATTCTCGCGAAGAATTGCATGCACGTGTGCGTCATTTCCTTCTATCAAAAATGTTATTTACAATTCGATGTGACACACGTTTATTTTTTATATTTAAGATAGTTTAATTTTAGTTTAATTTTAATTTTTTCACTTAATTATTTTAATTTTAGTTGAATTTATTTTATTAACTTCGATGTATAATATCAATATACATTGAGAAAAAAATACTTAAAAATTCATTTGCGAAATAAATATTATTTATTCTTTACATCCTACAAATAAATTTGTAACTACTTTCTTCTCAGTGTGAGGAGAAAATTCTTTTTTCGTTTCGTCCGTTTTTCTAAGAAGTCTGTATTTAAGAAAAGCGACTAGAAGTGCCAGTTGTTCAGCTAATCTCATATCGAAATTATTGTTGATCCCTCTCTTTTTACATCGCAAATTAACCCTTAGATGACACACGGGGTTAAAAGCACCCCAGAGTGTTTTTGAACGCAAATTTTTCATAGCTGCGCGCCAAATTTGGTTCAGTGGCGTCACCTAGTATTAGTCGAGGCTTGACCCAATATTGATAAATAAAACAATTATACACGTTTTTTCTCGCTGCGGTCCAAAATACCCCCTATAGCACGTACGTTATTATTTTGACGTGTGTCAGCTAAGGGTTAAATACCTCGATCATGGGCGTCCGAAATCCCGGTATTCGTCCATTACGCTTCGATCGTCAATCCGCATTGTCTCCCCTCCGCGCTGGATTATTTTTAATTCGGCGAAAATTATGCTCCACGTGTTCGATTTCGTTTTCGCACGGTGGTAGACACCGCTAAGATGCTAGACTTGCGGGTACTTCCGAGATCACACACATCGCACACATCGGAGTAACGCGACATCGTGTTCCGCTTATACGGTTGCCGGTGGAGGGGTGAGTTGCGTAATCCCGTGCGACACACATACAATGCACGCGTGTACGAATAAGTAATACACGAGTGCAACGACATTACGTGCGTCCCGCAATTAATGCCGCGGAATGTCGCAATTAAGCCGCTGCCTGAAATACGACCGATGCGCGGAAAGGAGAAAAGCTTTCTTCCGCCAATTATCCTGCTTGGCGAATGCTTGGCGTCTACGCGTGGCACGTGTAAACATTTACGCGTGAACTTGTAAATGATGCTGATACAACGACAAATATTGGGCAAACTCGTTACTACGAGCGCGCCGGTGGAGCAAGTGACAAGAAACAGGAATCGTTAAACGTTATCTTGTTTACATTATAGGTGAATGTTTATCTTGAGAGGAATGATTGGCGCATTTACGGGGAGAAATGATCGAATCAAGGAGATTCAAATATGAGATGTGCAATTTTTTATTAACAATTGGCTCATTATTAATTGAAGTGTCAAATCAGGACTCGCTCGTTCTCGAGACCGACTCGGCCGCGATTGAAATTGCGCGAAATTGACAATTTATTGGGGATATTTGTATCCTTCGCACACGGAATTATCCGAGCCAGGTGTGGCTTGTTAATAGAATCACGTCTTTGTCCGTGCGATTGTGCAATGACGTGAGCCCGAGTGTTATTCGTTATCACGATAAGTTTCGAGCAAATCTTGGCACTGATAAGATAGGAGTTCGCCTATGATGGAAATCTAACGTTAGACTATGTGGTTTAACGCGTGTTCCAGTTTTTCGCTGATGGAAACTTAAGAATATATCGTCCATAAGTTAAAATGATGAAAAATTACAAATTGATCTACATCGTATTTAAAAATCACATCAAAAGTTTGACAGTAATTCCGAGTTTGGATAAAAAATTATTCCAATTTAAGGTTGTAAAGTGAAATGAGTTTGATAAGAATTCAATGAAACCTGCGCTGCGTATGTATTGAAATATTATCTAATTCATTAATCGTGCAACTAGAAAAATGATTGACCATTCAAGAACTGAGATATTTGTAACTAAATTTGACGCTTTTTATATGTGTTCTTTGGGAAGTTAGCGTGTTATTTTTAATTTCTATTTTTAATATCTATTTTATTAAAAATAGGTATATACAGTACCTACTTTTAGTTAAATTTTTAATCTTCTAAATTAAAAGTATAAGATTTTTATGAAAATCTAGGGTATTAATAACTATAATATGCTATAATAAGACTATAATATGACATTATGTATAAATTTCATGTATAAATTTCAGAATTATTGATCATTTTGTTTTGAAAATGCGGCGATGTAAAATTCGTACTTTATAGTAATATTTGAAATACATATGCATATATTTAAATACGTATATACGCTCTTTCTATTATTTGTGCATCTTTATCAGATCAACTGATATATAAATATAGTATTAATAAGAAAAATAAAAAATAATATTTTTGTATTTATAATATTGTGTATATTTGTCTATCTCAAAATTGTTTTAAATTAATATTTATTTCTTAAGTAGTGAAATAAATGCATAGAAACATCATTTTACTTAATAAATATTAAATTTATGAGTGCTCTTTTGATGCGTCACTGAAAATATAAAAATACGACTCTAATGGGCGACTCTAATGGGCAATACATACTTAAAGATGAAAATTTCAAATGCGACTAATTTATATCGATCGACAATATTTATATTAAATAAAGAAGTTAGTAACAATGATCGTTTCTATCAACATTTAATTACGATGTATTTTTGTAAGTCTTCAAGTTTTCGTTTTTCGCATATTCGTTAATTGGTCCGAATCAAAATCTTAATAAAATTTACACTGAATTTGGACTCGCCGAAAGAGTCGAGTTATCCGCGCGATTGACGCTTATGCAGATCATATATGACTCGATGTTCTAAATATAGGAACTGCTATCAAGACGTGATTTCGATTTTGTTTTCTATGAACTTGCTCGACCTTGCGTTTCCTGTGAATTTTCACTTTGTGCATCGTGAGCGATAGCTACTGCACAAGAAGGATACGGGAGTTGGTTCGTGAGAAGCGGAGAAATTGCGTAAACATTTTCTCCGTGTAATAATGATAGGAGAGCCTGACAACCACGTTAATCTTCGTTGCAAGGCGCTTTATTACATCCACTGTGTCACGAACATGCGTTGGCTTTCTAACTGAATGAAAATCGCTATTCAAAATTTATAGCGAGTGAAATATCAAATGTGAATCCAGCACAAATGTCCTTTCACGCGGAAACAGTTGGCAGGAACAAGATGCGACAAAAAAATATTTTAAGAGGCACAATTGCCGATACTTTTCAAATTTAATCATCGAAACTCGAGTGATTCTTTATTTTATTTTATGATTTATAAACTTTTATAAATGGAAAATATTATATTACATTATATTATATAAGAACTTTACACAATAAATATATATTTATTTGCAAGATATATTTAAAAATGCTTTCATTTAACTTGGAATTTTTAATTAATTGCCTGGAAAATCGGGGAATTTTTTTCCGGATTTCAATAAACATAAATATTTAAAATAAATATTCAAAATGGCATTAGGACGTATTCGTACTTAGATTCTTACTGGGCCATAAATTAGTTCTTCTTTGATAAAAATTAAAGAAAGCCATTTCATTCTAAGGGATATTATCGTATGTGTCATATCGAAAAGATGTGGATATGAAAGCGTGTACTCTGTATAATTCGTAAGGAATCATTATCGACTTTACATGCCACAAATTGTAGGGTCGCGTGGTGTCCTTGTGCGACGACAATTCCTTGCACTTGTGGGAGATCAATGAAAGTTCCGTGGTGGAGACGAAGTCGCTGTCGTTAGAAGGCAAATTGAAGAAGATCTCTGCGATGTGTCTCGAATCGAGCGGGGAACATCTCTTATTGGGGACGGAAGGCGGCAACATCTATCTGCTGAACTTGAAGACCTTCGTCATGCCGGACAATATTATTTATCAGGATGTCGTGATGCAGAAGTGAGTGAGCGAGCGAACGAGCGAAAGCGGTCTGATACTTTGTTATTCTTATTTCCTAAGCTGATCCGACATTCTTTCTAACAACGGAGATAATTGAAACGATTGGCTCATGTAGCCTACAGCCCGTGTAGAGATCATTAAATTGTTTTTGTCGTGCCGTAGTGTTCCGGAGGACTACAAGAAAAACCCAGGTGCGGTCGAGGCCATAGCCGAGCAACCGGGACATCCGGATAACATCCTGATTGGTTACAATCGCGGCTTGATGGTGCTGTGGAACAAGGCTACTCCGGGAGCTCAGCAGGTAAACACAGAGTGTCCGTTCATTCGCCTCTACGTACATACAACACACTTGGCATATGCAACACTCTCACTGCTTACGAACACAATTCACATGTACAAGGATGCTTCGCGTAAAACAACATGAAACAACATACATTGTGGGTCAGTGTTCAACCCTGCTAGCCCGTTCATTTCCGGTCTTTTCGAGTTCATATAGATCTCCAGATGTTGTTGATACATTTTCTCAGATACACTCATCTTCCTTCTTATATTCGCTAAACGCTCGTGTGAGAAATCGAGAATCAAAGTTCAAATAGTTGAGATCAAAAAAGACAAAATTAAATTCACTGAAATATAGAAAATAGAGAAATGTTCGCACCTTCGGAGTTGTCGCGTTTTGCGAATGAAGGAAACCGGTCGGAGCTAATCCGAACGGAACGGCAGGGTTAATTTTGTGAGATGGTATCGCTCTCGTTCTGATTGTCGTTTGTGTCTTTGGTGGTTTTGGCGAACGTGTACGCGCAGCTGATGGGTTTGTTTTCGCGTGCGCAGACATTTGTCTCCACGCAACAGCTGGAATCGGTTCACTGGATCTCCGAGAGCCGCTTCGTCTCGTCGCACAACGACGGGTCCTACGCGTTTTGGAGTCCGGGCGGCGACGCGGTGCCGGAGCCCACGACGCTTTACGGGCCGTTCCCGTGCAAGGCGGTCACCAAGATCCTCGTCTACCCTACCGCGGAGTAAGTCCGAATTTGGGCGTCGAATGATTGAGTCTCCCCTCGTCCTCCCCCTTCGAATCCGATGAAACTTTTCGTTTCTCTCCACAGACACGGCGAACTTGTTCTGTTCTCCGGCGGTATGCAGCGCGCCAGTTACGGGGATCGGCACACGATCACCGTCATGACTAAGGACAAACATTTGGTCTTCGACTTCACGTCCAAGGTGATCGACTTCTTCACTGTGTTCCCCAAGGAGGAGGACGGCAACAATGAGAATCCCATCAGCCCCGAGGCGCTCATTGTGTTGGCCGAGGAGGAACTGGTAGCTATCGATTTGACCAACCCCGAGTGGAAGATGATGGCTCTACCTTACCTAGTGTCTCTTCACGCGAGTGCGGTGAGTATCCTCGGGGGAAGACATGGGAGAACAGAGTAGCAGGAGATGCCAGGTACATACTCGGATGACGAGTTAGACACAGTTGAAGGAAATATATTTCAGAAGCTATGGAAAAAGAGACAAAGCTATTGATGTAGAAAAGGAAAATAAGGCAGAAAGTGTAGGGACAGATGTGAGGCGTAAAAATTGTAAGCCACAAATCCCTTCTTGGCGTAAAGCGAAGTACAAAGTACTCTGTCGCAGGTGACCTGCTCCCAGCACGTGCCCAATGTCCCGGAAGAGCTATGGGAGGCGATCGGAGTGGCCGGTAAGGCACAGACGGAGCACCTCTACTCGGACAAGGTGTGGCCCATCGACGGTGGCATTATCCTCTGCCAGAAACCGGCGAACCCCGACAAGCCCAAGAGCCGGGAACTGCTGCTCACCGGACACGAGGACGGCACCGTGAGGTTCTGGAACGCGTCCGACGTCCCGTTGACGCCCTTGTACAAGTACAACTCGTCGATTCTGTTCACCGGCGAGCACTTGGACGTTCTGGAACAGCCGCCGGAGGACGACGAGGACGAATGGCCGCCATTCAAAAAAGTAGGGATTTTCGATCCGTACTCGGACGACCCACGGCTCGCCGTGAAGAAGGTACTTCTCTGTCCGTTGTCGTCCACCTTGGTGATCGCCGGCACGGCCGGCCACGTCATCACCGCCACCATTTCGTCGGAGCCGGTCAACAAGGAGATCAAGGGCGTCACCATGAACATCGTCAACGATCGCGACGGCTTCGTGTGGAAGGGCCACGACCATCTGCCGCCGCGAACCGCGAATATATCCTTCGCGGTCGGCTTCCAGCCGCAGAGCCTCCTCCAGCTGTACCCGCCCGCAGCTGCCACGGCGTTGGCGTTGCACAGCGAATGGGGATTGCTCGCGGCTGGCACGGCACATGGGCTTGCCGTTTTCGACTATACCAGGGGAAAGGCCGTCAGCGTCAAGTGCACGCTCAATCCGAACGGTACGATGTATGAGGTGTTCAACAACATATAATTTTAATCTTACGGATGAATGAAGAACGCTGTATCCCCTGATGCATATATATATATGCTGCAGATCTCTCCGGTGCAGGCGACACGCCTATCTCCCGTCGGAAGTCCTTCAAAAAGTCCCTCAGAGAGTCTTTCAGGAGATTGAGAAAAGGACGCTCGCAGCGCCGGACGAACGCTAATAGTCCTACGCAAAATACCGCGCCCGAGAAAAAGAAAGACAGGTGAGAGAGAGAGCTATTTTCCATATTGCAACAGCGTTATGATTCATTCAGGATTTCATAAAATCACGTGATGCATCACGTACATGCGTGTAAACGAGGAAAATGCATTTAGTCCATTTTATCACGTGATCCAGCATTTCAATCGCGTGTATCACGTCTAAATAAGGAAAGAGAATGTATAATATGTAATAATTAAGGTAAACAAATTAAAAATTATATTTTAATTATATTTTGATTATTGTATAAAAATTGAAATAAAAATTGCAGCCCCAGCGTCGCCTCGTCACCGAGCGGTGACCTATCACCGGGGGTGGAATTGAAACCGGTGGAGAGACAAGTAGAAGCAAGACCCGTAGACGACGCTCTAGGTTCCATGGTGCGGTGCTTATATTTCGCAAGGAGTTACATCATTAGCCGTTAGTATCTCTCGATAAGCGCAACACTCGCCGACGAGGACGATGTGTGAGAATAACTTGAGAAAATCTGCTCGCAGTACAAAATACAACTCCCACGCTCTGGGCTGGTACTAACAACGGAACGGTGTACGTCTTCACATTGGCCATACCGGCCGGCGCCAGGAGAACGGAGGAGGACGTTAATTGCACACTGGGCAAGGAGATACAGCTGAAGCATCGGGCGCCGGTGATAGCGATCACGATCCTCGACGGATCGAGTGTACCGTTGCCAGAGCCGTACGAGGCCGAGAAAGGCGTGACAGCCGGGCCCGACATGACCTCTCCGCACAGAGTCGTGATCGCCAGCGAGGAGCAATTCAAGATCTTCAATCTTCCGTCCCTGAAGCCGCACTGCAAGTATAAGTTGACCGCGCACGAAGGATCCAGAGTGCGTAAAACTGGCTTTGCCAAGTTTTCGTGTCCCGTCGAGCCGACGGGAACCCACGAAGAAACTTGCTTACTCTGTCTGACGAACCTGGGTGACTGTTTGGTGCTGAGCATACCGGAACTGAGGAGACAATTGAACGCCGCTGCGATCAAACGGGAGGATATTAAGTAAGTATATAGGTGGTATTCATGGGCGTGTCTTTAAGATTGTTTACTTGGATTCAAGGCCTCCTCACGTTGTAAGGCTCAGTGCCGTATTTTTGAGGGGAGCGTCAAGGGGACTACTTATAAATTTATTATTCATTATAGGCTTCTCATAAAAATCTTCATTTAATGTAGAAGATACTAGAAATTGAATTAAAAAATAACACGCTAACCTCAAGGAGCACATATGAAAAGTGTCAACTTTAGTTGCAAATATCTCAGCTTTCGAATGATCAATTTTCTTCCAATCGCACAATCCATTAATAATATTTCAATACGTATACAATGCAAGTTTTACCGAATTTTTTTCAAATTTTTAAACTACTTAAAACTTCCTTAAATTCATCCTCAGAAGTTGAACGGATCATTTCGTCTACGAAGTATCCGAGGATGAACTTCAGACGAGATTTTTCATCCACATAATTTGCTGACTGACTCTATTCTTTTCTTCCTTTCCGTTTTCCGCAGCGGCATTTCTTCCTTAACATTCACGAAGTCCGGTGAGGCGTTGTACCTTCACTCGAGCTCGGAATTGCAACGAATTTCCTTGTCGGCCGCGAAAATGACCAAAGCGCATTGCGCGCTCAGTCTACCGCCTCACGCTCGATCGTACACGGATAACGCTGTCGAGACCTCGCAGGAGCAAGCTGGTGTTGTCGAAGGCGCGCCCGAGACAGAAGGGGAGACTCAAGGAAGTCAACCGCCCACGGTAGTGAACCGAGTTATCACGGAGAATGGCGTGGTGGGTTCCAGTGAGTATGCCGGTTACAGAACTCCACATATTTTTTACGAATAATCTAAAGAGGCAGACACGTTTCTTCTTCTTTTTTTTTTTTTTATTCTTCTCTTTTTTACACACGCGCGGACATAGAAATACATCACCGGCTTCTGTGCGATCGCTAAATATATGGTAACCGCTTGGCATACCTTTGTAACCCGCATATACTTGTGTGCTTCATCACATGTTGTGACCCATTACGACTTGATCTTACCGCTATTTACGTCTACCTTGTGTCTTAATTAACATGACAATTAGGGAATGCTGTGTTGTATTAGTGCCGTTTAGTGTCGATTTCCTCAACGCATGTCTTTTAGCTGGGGAAGAAGAGTCTCCGAAGGAACCGTCGCTGCGACCAGCCACGAGTAGTGTGGACGTGAACGGGGACGACGACCGGCAGGATTTGAGTTCTATCGGAGACATCACGATCGACAGTGTTAAAGATCACTTACTGTAAGTCGCATCGATAATCGTCTCGATTGTGTGTGTGTCTTATTTATTACGCTTGACTCGCTTTTATACGCGCGACAGGCATTTACTTCGGTGTTCCCCTCTCTCGGTTTGTTCAATCGTAACTTTTGATTCGACGTTATTTCACGTGGACAGCGTGTATTATTACGCGTATATTAGTCCGCGTACTTCGATAGCATCGCATGGCTTGACGGATTATTTCGTCGCTGCCGCGTGGAACTAATGCGTGCTCGATGTACTTGCCATCCTTTGGCAGTAACAGTTCGCTTTTCAGAAACGCCACGTCTTCCGAGGAACTCCACAATCGTTTGGCAGGGCTTAAAATGGAGGTGACCTCACGGTCTTCCGAGATATCGACGCAGAATCAATCGTTAGTGGTGAAAACTACCACCGTGGTTACGCAGACTACAAATAGCACGACCGCCAACGGCGAGGTTGAGACGAGTCAGGCGAACGAGACGCAGCATGTGAACAGTGAGTGAAATCACAAAGTCGAGAACTCCGAACATTAAAGTAACGCCTACTTATCGTTGTCTCTAATCGTTCAAATATCAGAGTGATGATGACTCACGAAGAGAAAGTGAAAGATGATTGATCATTTATTTGCGCCTCGTACGCTCGTATAGCAGCTCGTCAGAACGAATCTAATGCGTGATTAATCGAATATTTTCTAGGCCATCGGATTTCGATGATTTTCTAGGCATTAATCTCGATCGCCAGACACAACGGATTGTACAGTGGCCTCGTGTTGTTAAGACAGTTGGTCCGTATTGTGCCGAATTCTCAGTGACGATATTAAAGGGCCTCTGTATAGACTTATTATTTATTTTTAAAAAATCCTTATGATTTTATTTAGTTATTCAAGTAATAAATGATTTTGAAGGCGCAAAATTAAGACAAATATATACACAATATTATAAATACGGGAATAATTATTTTTTTATTTTTTCTGTTAATGCTTTATTTATACGTTGTTAAGCTAATAGAAGTGCTAATAGAAAGTGGTATGTGAATATTTAAATATGTATATGTACGTATGTCACAAGCGTTATTACAAATTAGAAATTTCCCATGGTCATATCTTCAAAACAAAATTACTAAAAATTCTGAAATTTTTGTATAATATCTCTATATTAGTTCTTAACACATTAAGGGCGAGAGTCGTAGTACTACGATTTAGCTCGACTGCGGCTTAAAGGCGGGAGTCGTAGTAATACAATTTAGCTCGACTGTACCTTAAAGTTTTTATGATCACACAAAATATCGCCCGCCGTTAATGTGTTAATATAGTAGTTTTCCGTGCAAATCCTAAATGTGGTTTAGGAGAAATTAAAAATTGGATATCGAGACCTCAAGAAACACGTAAAATAATTTCTAGGATAATGGTTTGTGACAGACCAACTACCTTAATCTACATTCCGTCTTTGGCTGCGTTCCGATATTCACTGGCAGCTTCTGAAAATCTGTACTATAACGTAACATGAATTGTAGATTTTCAATGCTGTGAATATCAGAACTCGGCCTCAGTCTGCCGGTGTTCCGATACAGTACATTTTTTTTCTCTCGTTTCGCTCCTCTCGCCCCCGCCCCCCCCCTCTCCCCCCGCCCTTGTTCGTTTTATTCGTGTCTATTAATTTTTTTTTTCTTTCATTCTTCCTTCTTTTATCGTCGATCACATCGTTTTTTGGTTGTGTGGCATTTGTTTTATTGCGCAGGCACTACGGTAGAGCGAGAGATACGCAGCGGTATCGAGACAACGACGACACACGCTACCATCACTCTACCTCCGAACGTCGAGGTCAGCAAAAACGGCACTGGGACCGTATTACAGTTATTGGTGTCGGCCGTTACCTCGATATTTTAACCCTAACCCGTGTCCCAACGCTTCACAGTATTACTCGTCGTGCGCTATTAACCGTACACATTTTTTTTATCTACCCGCTACTAAGTGCACCTGTGCTTCCGAATCTGATCGTTTGACTTTCGGTTTATTAATTCTGTCCCCGGCCCCCCTCCCCCCGCTGCATCCCTTTCACTGTGAACACACTCGTTAACGAACGAACTAGTTAGCAAAACACTAACCGTAGATGTAAAGCGATTATTGACTCTCTCTGGATCACCCTTGACATTTCTTATCGAGAGAGACATCCGTTGAGGGATCAGGAGGCGCAACGGCATGTAGAACGTTTCGTTATTGCAGATTAGTGCCGCGGACTTGGCCAATTTGGAGATCACCACGACTACGGTGACTACAGAAGTGTCGAAGGCGCCGTTGGCTAGGCCAGAGGAGGTCGGATCGTAGGCCTGTTCCATATCGTTTCTTCTCTACGCTGACCACGCATCGATTTCGCGCCCCGCATACGGAGCTACCAATAATTAGTTACTCTTACTTAATAAGCGAACGTGTACACAGCGGCGACATAGGTAGGATTTATATACCGTAGTTTAAAAGAGGACAAGAAAAAGATGAAAATCTAGATTTCTATGCAGCATTTTAGCATTTTGATCGCGCGACGACGACGACGAGTAATTACTTTTTAATACGAACCTCGAGCATATTTTTCACCGACACACATCGGTCTCGTATACATCGGTTGTATTCCACTTGAAAATATTCCTGGTCTGTTCTTTACAGCCGAACCGGCTGCACCGGTTCCAAGGAACTTACATACATACTGAAGCGCATGCACGAAATTCTCACGCTTCTCAGCGAGCGTAATTTTCTCGAACTAGCGCAGCTGGCTCAGCTATAAGGAACAGGCCATCTAAACGAATAAACTTTCCTAATTGGCGGAGAATCGGTGGGTTTTTAAACGGAAATAGGCCTAGACGATGTTTGACTTTTCCTTGCGACACGCGGAACGAAGAGGAAACACGAGTTTTCTCGCTGCGACTTCTTTACCGAGAGACAAAAAAAAGAGAGAAAAGTTTGCAGATTTTTATTACCGGTTAAGGTTTCAAGATAATGTATACATAAAGTTTTACCAAGTGCCGTAACGAAACCGCCAATTTTACAGCGAATCTGTCGTTTATCGATCTATCGTTTTACACGGCTAAGACTTTGGTGTCCGTCGATTTAAACGGCAAGCCTGATGCATGTGCGATCAATATAATTGTAGACGTCGAAAGGGAAAAAAATGGTTTCAAGGCTCCTGGTCCTTCGCTGCAACTGTCCTTCTTTCATGACGTCAGAAGCGAGAAAACGCACGCCGAGAAATTCTTGCGTTATACGTTCAAATAAAACAATATACTTATAAAGTGACGTTCATGATCGATTCAGCACACTTGTAAAATTGCCCGAACACTTTTCTCTTGCTCGAACAATCAATGAACGGTCGTGAAATTAACATCTACAAAATCATAAGAAAAGAGGTTGGAAAAGAAAGTTCCGTGTCAAGTTAATTTTGCGACTATTTATTGATCGTCCGAATAAGAGAAAAGTGTTCGGATAATTTTATAAAGTGTGCTGAAAATTTTTTTATTCGAACGTATAACGCAAAAATTCTTGGTGTATGTTTTCTTGCCTCTGACTCATCAAAAACAGTTGTAGGGACCAGGAGTCTTTAATGATAGAGACAACAATGACGAGACATCACAATCATGAATAATATGGCAGCCTTAAATATATATATATATATACATATATATACATATACATATATATATATATACACACACACACACACACACACACACACACACACACACACACACACACGTGTTACTTTATATTTTTAATTATTATAAAGATGCGACTTAAGCCATCCGCAGTATTTGAAACGTCTCGAGCGTCCTGTGAGCTCCGCGGGTGATAAGTGCGATACCGGCGCGGCGACGCAAGGGTGCTCCGAACGACAAGAAGATACATAGCTACTTAAGTAGAATAACACAAAGTACGAACAAGTAAGGAGATTAAGCGTGGTGAAACTTAAGGGAAAGGTGTGTGTGTGCCCGTCGATGGCCATGACGTAGGAAGAGAACGCGTTGAAAGTATATTTTTTATCGATGTTGCTTAATCGTTAAGTTTCTTCCTCTCCTCGTTCGGGGAAGCGAGGAGAGAGCATGATGGTAACCGGATATCTTTGGGTCGATATCGCTCGATTATTCGGGAACGCTTAACGTATCGATACCGATATATAGTTACTTTTTATCATTGCATTTATATCCGCAATCTTTCGTTTCTCGTTAGACAGAATAATCGCATGGATAGTAGCATCCCTAGCAGGATCGATGCGAAAGCTATGCAAAGTGCAAGTTTCCGCCTTTTCGATGCGTTATGAATTTTACGAACATACACACACACACACACATACACTACATATCGTTTTGTACCGATATCTTCTTTCATGGCTTTGTTTTTTGCAAATGCGATTTAGCAAATCGATTATACCCCAATATTTTATACCTTTGATCTCAGTAGAATCCTCGCGAGAAAGAGAGAGAGGAGGAGAAGGAGGAGAGTGTGTGATGGCTTACGCTACGTTTGGGAACTGCATTTTTATTCGGAATACGGCTCGATCATGTGTCACAACAATCTCGCGACACAACACTGTACAAACGCGAAATCCCGAAGTGTGCAACAGACTGACGGAGGGTGGTCGTGACCTCCTTTTGCCGCATTTTTTTTTTTTCAACTTCCTCTTTTTAACAACAATATTCGCGCGACCATTGAAAGTTTTATGATGTGATGGAATATTTCGACTTTTTAAAAGAAGCATGTATACCCTCGGCGCGCGGTAGCATCGGTTATTCTGATTATAATTTTAACGCGACACGCGGGTCTCTTTGTAGATAAGTTTTAAGCTCCTATATAGTTTCGTAATTATTTTTATTCGCTGTTCTTCGGTGATTTTGTACTCCTCCCCCCTCCCCCTCCAAGCATAATGTTATCAATCATATCTCACACACACGTGTCCGTGTCGAGATAGCAAAAGAGAAAGAAAAAAACTGAAAATTCAACGTAATACGAAAACAAACGAGTGATCCGACGATATTACTTATCGCCGTATAATCGTTTATCGTACGTTAACGATTGTCCTTCATTTCATGGAATCGACGCTGAGTTCGCTGAAGTATGTGCACTCGTAATATTGTAAATTGTTTTTTTTTACTTTGATAAAGCGATGTATAGTGTACACAGAGGAAATTGATAAAACACTGCCCTCCCTGAAAAAAAAGAAACTTTCCTATCCGACACTGTTAAATATTAATTGTAACATGTCTTATATTATATTTGAACGCCTATTACGAAGAAATATATGAGTAATTATTGATGTATTTTCTATTTCAAATTGCGTTGCTTCATTGGGTTTTACTCTCGAATCGTCCTTATCCGATCTCTATGATATCCCTTGTAAACTATTTCGACCAACAACGTAACTCGAGTCGAAATTTCAACTTATTCCTCGTATCTTTAAGTATTCTGTGAATTTCATTTGTATGTTATTTATAATGTATAATTTATGTGAAATTAAATGTGACCTCTGAAAAATGATAAAGACAGAATACATAATCATACTAATAATACTATAAATAGCATACTAATCATTTCGTCTGTAGAACGCGTTTGAATTTGTCGACGCGAACCCTTTTAGTATTATCATTAAAAATTTAAATTATAAAAAATAAAAATTATTATTAAAAATTTGGTTAGTTCGATCATAAAAAGTTTGACGGCAATTCAGAAGGTTGCACATAAAAAGTCTCAAAGTTCCAAGACGAAATTCTACGCCACATTTACGTGGCTTGTAAAGGAATTTCACTTTGAACGCCGGCCTCATAGAAAGAGTGAGGGAGGGTCAAGTGTGACGTTTTTTCCGAAACTAAGAACTGTCAACCATCAATTCTGATCCAGCGTGGCCAACATTTAGAAACTAAAAAGCAACTGAAAGAAGAACGATTGCTAAGTCGCTGCTACAGCTATCTGATGACCTTACGAACTTTTGTGAGCGCCTAATATATCTTACAGTGCTATTTAAATATTAATATTACAAGTATTAATATTCTATGAGAGGATAAAAACCTAGATAGCAAAATGTATTCAGTCTAACGGTCGCAACGTGAGGCACAAGGATACGTACACAAATGCATGCTCAGATGTCGCTTATGTCCTGATGTTAGGAAAATATTGAATTGTATTCATCATAATCATTTATCATTATGAATTGTATTCATCATAATCACGTCATGAATTTACATGTATCATTTGTGTACATCTCGTGCTCGTGCGACGTTAATCACGTAACAATCTTTAAAAAAAGTTGCTAAGTTGAGGTCACAATATGACATCACATTGTGATAAAACATGATCATTACGCATTTCTATCTGGTTCACCATGTACCAAAGAATGTTTCGGATAAAACATAGCGATGAGTCACAGTCTTCCACGTATGACGAAGACACTTTAAATAATATTTCTACACTATGATTTTAATATTTAGGGATATCATATCATCAAGTGACAGTTGAAAAATATTTATAAATTATTGTCGCCAAAGTGTTTATAAAATCAATATTTCAAAAGATCAATTTAATGTTTCTCGCTTACTGAGTTGTCACATTGTTGGGCTGAGCGTACATACATTGTTTAATTCGTCTTCCAAGTGCTTATATTATCTCATTGATATTCGTCTCCATATTCCGAATTTTCATCAATAAAAGTACCTCTTGGAAGCCAGCTGATTGGCCGAGAAGCCACATTTAAGGCACTCATCGATAAATTCGCGAATTCGGAACACGAACCGTAGCGTAAAAACGGCTTCGAAATTGGCGCGCTTCGCGACCCACTTCGGCGGGGCACAGAGGGTGCTGGGCTCTCGGCGGTTCTGGTGGCGGGCTCTGGCGGCGCGACACACGCGTGAACAAGAGTGGCCTCGGCAGGACGAGCGTTCCCACTGACTCGGCCGCAGCGTCCGTCTCCGCTGGGAAAAAGGCGCATCGCGCGTGATATTCACGAGAACGGTATCGTCGCGATTGGCGTATCCTCGGCCGGGTAGTTCGCCGTCCACCGGTCCGTTCGGCCGCCGCCGCGGGCAGATGCCCCTCCGCGACGTGCTCTCCCATTGGTCGCCGCGCTCTCGTGCAACCGGATCGACGTTTACCGCAAGATCCGGCGGCCTCCCCCCCACCACCACCGTCGTCCGCGACGTCGACGAGGTTCTCGTGCGCGGTTCACCGAATTTCACCACGACCGGTCGACCGCCCCCCCGTGGGGGGCAAACCTCTCTCGCGATATCATCATCATCGTCAACCATCCCTGCCGCCGTTCTCGCCTCCCAGCAGCGCCGTCAACAACAACGGCGAAAGCGCGACAAACGCGCGAGCGCAGCGCCGCCGCCATCAGCGCGACCGCCATCGTAACGAGGTGCACATCGCCGTTCACCGCGACTAGGCAGGAAGAGAGATGCCCGTAGGTACGAGATCGATCAGACCGAGTAGTTCCCGCACGACGAGTATGGAGGTACCGTCGACGAGGCTGTAACAACGCGAGCGATCCCAGCACGCACCGCCGCCGCGCGAGCATCGCCACGACGGGCCGTCATCGTCGTCTCCACGCTCTCACGCTCGGGTCAGCTGCTGCTGTTGCTTCGCTGCTGTTGCTGCTGATATCTCCGCCGTTCCTCGGTGTGTGCGCGTATGTGTGTGTGGGTGCGTGCGTGCGTGCGTGCATAGTCGCCTCGCCGTCGTCGTCGCCGCCGCCGCCACCACCACCACCACCGTCCCCGCAACCGTGATATTTGTATCGTGAGGCGCCGAGCGGCCAGTACAATGGAGCTACGCGTTGGTAACAAGTACCGGCTCGGACGGAAAATCGGGAGCGGCTCCTTCGGCGACATTTACCTAGGTAACCATCCCCCGCGAGAGTATCTCGGCGGTAGCGCCTGCCACTCGCCACAATGCCGTTCTCTCCCTTTCCTCCCCTCCCTCCTCCTCCCCCGCCTCTCCCCCGACACCCCTCCCTTCTCTCTCTCTCTCTCTCTCTCTCCGTTCCTCGCAGCGAATTTCGCGTATTCCGCGCACGAGAGCCGCGGAAACGCGCGCGCGTCAATTCCTACGTGCGCACGTTTCATTCCCGCGCCTTCCTCTCTTTCCGCGTCGTTCTCTTGCTCTTCCACTCGCCCTTCTTCTTTGTCTTTCACCTTCAACTTTGTATCTCGTGTATGTGTGTATGTGTGTATGTGTGCTGCACATGTATATTGCGTGCGTATATGTGAGCGAGTGTGTGTGTGTGTAAATAGGTTTCTTAGACCTTTCTTTATTCGCAGGCACCAATATATCCACGGGTGAGGAGGTCGCTATCAAGTTAGAATGCATAAAAACACGGCATCCGCAGCTGCACATAGAGTCCAAATTTTACAAGATAATGCAAGGAGGCGGTGAGTAGATCAATATTTGTTGGCCTATCAGCCGAGTGTTCTTTTTGTTCTACCAAGAGAACTATCGGGGATGTGTGTGTATATGTTCCTGCGTTTGTCAGCCAGCTGATTCAATATCCGGATTTTTTTTTTCGGTGAGACAAAATACGACCGTGAATTTCTAATATCTGTCTACCGCGATATCTTGTGATTCTTGTAGCGATGAGACTTGACAGTTTAACGGGACATTCAGTTGTGACGGAAATTTCATTGACTACAACTGCGCCAAGATATTGTGAAAGAGATAATAAAGGAATTTATTACTTTGAGTTCGTTGTTGGTGCGGATGTGAAGTGTATGAATTATGATTGAATTTTTCAAACAGTACCTCCACCATTTGTTTCATCACTTTTACCAGCAGAGCAGTTTCGTAATCTCTTTAGAGTGCGATATCCGGATATTGTTACTTCGTAATCAGTTGTGTAGTCTTTGAATAGTACATTGATATTTATTATATAATGTACAGCAGTTCTTTAAACGGTATACACGTCTCCAATAGGTATTATCTCTTTTCTTCTATCTATTTGTACATCATTAGTTTAGTAACAATATAATTTTTGATATTCTAGTTGGAATACCAACTATAAAGTGGTGTGGATCGGAAGGTGACTATAATGTGATGGTGATGGAATTACTCGGCCCATCACTGGAGGACTTATTTAATTTTTGTTCGAGACGTTTCTCCCTGAAAACGGTCCTGCTCCTTGCCGATCAGTTGGTAAATAAACATTTCTTTACTACAAGAGCACGCTTCGTTTATTCAAATGATGCATGCATGAATACAAATGATAAATCAGTTGCAGATTCATCGATTAAAGTGAACAATTTTAGCGCCATAATAACATGTAGATAATGTATATCGCCGATTTTTATTTATTTTAGATATTTTATATCTTCAAATCACCGGTATTTCCTACGTAATTAATTTTGAACGCATTCTGATTTCTGTTGAGAAAATTTGCATCTTGGGTGGAATAACTGTTTATTGCATTGCACAATGCAAGACAGGATTCTATTTATGTTGTATCCAACTGCACCACACACACACACACACACACTCTCTCTCTCTCTCTCTCTCTCTCTCTCTCTCTCTCTCTCTCTCTCGTTGTGTGCGTTTTGAGATAAAAGGCTTGACAGATAACTTTCAACTTATTATTCCCATATGCAGTCGCTTCATTGTGTTTGTGCAGAGCGTTTGCCGAGGCACATAAATGCCTTGATGTGTGTTCAAAGTTCATACTGCGATTATATTCATTTATTACTTAATTTTTTTTTTGCGAAGAAGCATGTCAATATGCTTTACATTCTTACTTACAGTTCATACATTCGTATTCTCAACATCTGCTCGTTGAACAATCATCTTAATTAGTATCAAACGCGCATATAATTATTGAATCGTACTTCTAAGCAATATTACTTTTGCTTATTAAACACTAAAGCATAAAAACAAATTAAGATGTAAAGACTAATTGAGATAGAAATGGATATTCAGTTTTTCTTTTTTTAAGCTTGGTGCAGGGGTACACTTGTTGATTTGGCAGAAATGATCGCGTTGAAAAGAAAACACGGATGTGTATCGAGATGTTGGCGCGAGTAGTGTACAGTAATATAAGGACGCGAAGCGTCGAATAAGCAGTTTATTTATCTTTTGTGCGCACGATCTCAGAGGTTCGAAGCATGCGTACATTTACATGACACGCATTACAGTGGTACAGTTATAATACAGGAGTGTGTTAATTTCTCTCTGTTCTGCAGATAAGTAGAACAGATTACATTCATAGCCGCAACTTTATTCATCGTGATATTAAACCGGACAACTTTCTGATGGGTCTGGGGAAGAAGGGGAACCTAGTCTATATCATAGACTTCGGATTGGCTAAAAAGTATCGCGACGGCCGCACACACAAACACATACCGTATCGAGAAAACAAGAACCTGACGGGAACGGCTAGGTCAGTTGCGAGCATCGATATTCCCATGTATTAGTATCGTTAAGCTCGCCACTTATCACAGTGCGTGTTCTCCCACTAATTTGCTCCGTCGTTACGGCGATACAGATACGCGAGTATAAATACGCACTTGGGGATCGAGCAGTCACGACGGGACGATCTTGAGTCTCTGGGCTATGTGCTTATGTACTTCAATAGGGGTAGTCTGCCCTGGCAGGGATTGAAAGCGGCGACGAAGAGGCAAAAGTACGAGCGCATCTCCGAGAAGAAAATGTCCACTCCGATAGAAGAACTTTGCAAAGGTTACCCCTGTAAGTCTCCTCAGCAACGTGTATCTCGTGCGCCGAGACGCGCACGAAGGCACAGTCGCGAAGTCGATCCTGTCACGCTGACATACACCGCAGCTTAACATGATAAAAAAAGTGTGAACTCATTTTATTAATTATTGTAGTAGAGTTTGCGTCGTATCTAAGGTATTGTCGAGACTTGCGTTTCGAGGAAAGGCCGGATTACTCGCACCTCCGACAGCTCTTCCGGACGCTGTTCCACGGCCAGGGCTTCACCTACGACTACGTCTTCGACTGGAACATGCTGAAGTTCGGTAACGCGAGACAACCGACGTTACCCTCCGCGCAGCAGGCGCCGATGCACTCGCAGCCGTCCAACGCGGCGCTGCCTTCCGGGACCAACAACGATCAGGAACATCGATCAAGGTCGGTTTGCTTTTCCTCGTCGGTGTGTTTGCTTTCGCGAGAAAAATAAGAAGGAAGGAACAAACTCTCAGCGATTAAACCTAAGGCGGCCTGTTAGCGATTGCATCTTCACACCATACCGTCTTTTCACGTCTTATAAATAGCACGGTTGTTTCATTGCTCGCGAGCGCGCTCTATTTTCGGCGGCTGGGCCGATGAATCGGGAAACCGCTTTGAGGAATCAACGGCACGCCTGAACGCGTCTCTTTCTTCATCCCGCCGGTTAACTTATTCGTTTAACAATTGATATTACAAGAAGAGCCGCGATGCGTCTCGTTGTGATTACACGCAGCGCGCGCTTCTAACCAACGGAATCTACGTTTCCCTCTGCAAATGTCTGCTTCCAGGCCCTACACGCGACAGTGTTTGCCGAACGCGTCGGTAGCGACGGTGGGGCCGACGCTCGGGCCGAACGCGAGTCTGCGAGCGATCCGGCAGAAGCGCGAAATGGAGACTCGCGGCGAGCAGGACAATCAGGACAAGAGTGATCTCCAAGGTAAAATACAATTCTACCAACAATTCTGCGCGAGCCAACAGAAACCTGTTGCCGAGCGAAAAGCGAAACTCGCGGCCGGACAGGCCGGTAATCCGCGCGGCCCCGCGTGTCAGTTCAGTACATTCAAGTCGTCGCCGGGTAGGCCGGCGCCGGACGCCACGGGTTCCCTAGATCTCGCCGGGCTTAGCTTAGGTCATCGCGAGTTAGGGCCGAAACGCGCCGAGCTGAATCCCGCGACGTCGCGCGACCATTATTACCAGCCGATCGGCAGGGCGCGCGAGAGGAGCCCGAACGCGGCGTCCCGTCAGCTCGACAAGCAGAGTTATTTTTTTCATGGGCATAAAACTGAGAAAGACGTAGATCGCGAGGTCGTGATGTTCGAGGATCTCGGCGGGGCCGATCGTGGGCTCGAGAGCCGGCGAGCCGGAGGGCCGAAGGACGCGGAGGAGGCGGCCGCTGCCTCCGGCGGATCGATGAACTGCTTCGGTGGGCCGGACCAGCGGGGCTACAGCGACTACGCCGAGAGGAAGCTGAGGTATCCGGCCGCGGGCTCGGGCGTGCGACGGCTCACCATGGCGTACGAGACGCGCCGCGACTCCGGGAACGTGGAGTTCCTCGAGAAGGAGGGCGAGATCTTCAAGAAGAGCAGCAGCGAGCTGCTGCAGGAGGCCACCGCCGGCAAGCGGCGGAACTTCTCGTTCCGCAACAAGGAGAAGACGCACCGTAGCCTGGAGTCGCTGGAGAGGAGCGTCGACGCGCCGGCGATGGACTGCAAGAGCCTGGACCTACTGCCGGAGGAACGGCCGAGGACGTTCTTCCACATCAAGCAGAGGAGCCTCGACTCGACGCAGAAGCCGAAGAAGCCGGCCGAGCCGGGCAAGACGCGCAAGCGGCCCAGCTTCTTCCAGAGAGTCGGTAGAAGCCTGCATTTTTTACCCAGGGAGCGCGAGAAGTGCCAGGATCTCCTGAAGCCGGAGGAGCCGCGAGTCGTCGACAGCCAGTACCTGCTGCCGATCGACCAGAAGTGCGAGTACTTCCTGCAGAGGCACCAGAAGGGCGTCGTCGATTTTTTTGAGAGGGCGCCAACCTCGCCGGCCAGTCGTGCTCCCGCTCGGTCCAATCTCGGTAAACCCTCCGATCAATCTCGCGATCACGTCGACAGCCCGTGCCGGCCCACGGAGCAGCACCTGAAGCATCTTCAGGAAGAGAGTACGTTTCGTGTGACGAGAGACTCGGACGATCTCTTGAAGAACAGCTTCGACTTCACGGACAAGGATGCGGTGGCGGGGCGGACTCGTTCTTCGAGCGCCGAGTCGGTGCGATCCGCCGACGAGCAACCCGCCTGCAACAACGAAGTGCAATCGAGGCTCCTGGAGCCGGTGGCGAGCGTCGCCACGCAGGAGACCGTGAGCGGCAACAAGGACAGCCTCGAGATCGGCTACTCCATCAGCCAGCTCGGCAGACTGTACTTACAGAATCTGCAGCGCGTCGGCCGCACGGACGGCGGCCTGCGGTCGTTGGAGGCCGGCGACGTGGACGCGAAGCGCTACATCGAATGGATCACCAGAGACGATCTGGACGCTCTCAGCCACGGCACGAATTCCAGCGACTCCCTGGCGCACGGCAAGCCCCAGGGTAACTTAGACATTCTCAAGGGTATCCTACTCGACATCTTCGTCTGCATTTGCTTCTAAACGGAGCTGGGGATTTCCGATACGATAAGAAAGAAAAAGGCAAATCCTCTTGCATCACGTACTGAGCGATCTCTCTATTATTTATATACACATACACACATACACATGCACACACACACACGCGCGCATATATATATATATATATATATATATATGGGTGTGTATGTATATCCTCTCGTGCGAAAACTACACCAAGTTTCGATGGTCGAGCGGCTCAGAGGGAGAATATTTTTAAACGAAGATAGTAAGAAGATAGAAGAAAAGAAACGCGATTTTTATACTGGGTATTTCGATCGTAATCTGCATCTCGTGCGTATATTTTCGTATGGCGCTATATAATATAACGATATAACGATATAACGTTTGTAACGAATATATTTGTAATCTTTACAATTGTCGAATCACTCGCACGGATATTAACGAAGCATTGAAATCTTGGCTATCTGTCTATGATCGATACGCGAACGGACGAAAAGAATTGCCTTAAAGACGCGAAAAGCGAAACCAATTAGATATTGGATTGTGGACGGCCGACACTGAGATAACTTGAGCCAACACCATTTTTTTTTTCTTTTTTTTTCTCTACGACGCATATACAATGTACGTATATAAACATATATATATTAGACTTGGTAATCTTGTACACGTATACTGCGGCCTCAAGATCGATTGCGCTTCATTCTCGGAGGAGGAGGCGCGTCGCGGGATCTTAAACGTCGAACTCTTGCCGCACGCACAAAGGCGCACGCGTGCACACACACACACACACACACACACGTACATACTCTCGCACACACGCATATACACACGCACGAAACGCGTACAGATACAGAAACACACAGATACAAACTGAGTCGAGGAAGTTGGTTTTGCTTCGCCTCTATTGTTTAGGTTTTAAACTACGGTAGAGATTGATAAGCACTCACATACCAAATTACAGTAATTAAGATATGCTATATTATGCGATCACACGTGTGTACATAAAATACGTTCATTGGACAAATGCAAAATGCAACCGTAATGACGAGCGTAATCGTGATAAAGGAGAAAAAAAAGAGGGAAAGGATGGACGGGAATTCGAAATTCCTCTTAGGATCTTCGGGCTGTATACAACGATGATCTTTATTTTTTTTTTATGTGTCTTTTCTTTTGTAATAATATATTGTATTTTTTTTTATATTTGACTGAATGAATACATTAAAGGAGTTTTTATTAGTCGAGTAATATATCTTTCCGCGTTGTCTCGTTTGGATAATTGGCATTCTCGGTCGCCTTTTATTATTTGAAGAAATTAATTTGATTTTGAGAAAAAGTAAGGGGGGATTACGCACAGAGTGCGGTTTAAACGTAGGAAACGACAACGCGCATGACAACGTGTGGTTTTAACATTTTAAAACGGTTTCTCGTAACTTATTAATTTTTTTCCTGAAATAATCTTTCTAATATATTATTTTTAGACTGACCGAAAGCTGATAGACTGATACTTACCGTAAAAAATATCTCGAAAACTTGATTGCAGTACACCATAGTGGACTGTTTCTCATTCAAATCACCTTGTCGATGTATCGCAGCAGTGGCTTGCCATTTGTTTATTAAATTTCATTTATTTTTTGTTCTACACACTTCTGCCCTTTCATTCGCGAGAATCCCAAATATCATTTTGTTCTAAGATGAGCCTTGTGCGGGAAATTTGCATTTGAAGATTTACGAATGTACACGCATACTTGTATACACGTACACTTATGCGTGTAAATCCCCGATTCTTCAAGTCGGTTTTCCGCGTCATGACACGGTGAGTAACGTTTTAAATAGGATTACTGTCCCGTGAGTAATTATGTATCGTCCGAAAAACAACTCGGCTGGAAACAGTAATTGGCGGGTCGCTGCCATCTCGTGTAAAAGTAGAGAACAGTGAACATCGCGTAAAGTATACTCGCTTTATTTTCCCCGCTGTGTTTGTACGAAATGACGTTACTTCTAATTGCAAGTTTCGCGACATAACGCAGCCACACACACACACACACACACAACACAAACAAACATATACATATACACACGATTGCTCTCGATGTGCAACTCGATGTTGAACATCGACGAGTGACGAAAATTCACCGACACCTGACACAGTTCCTCTCTCGAGTTCTGATTAGCTTACTCGCGCACTCTTCTCTCACGACTCGTTTGACTTATTTGTAAGACAGAACACGGATTTACGATAATGAGCACGTGACATGCGAGGCGACTGCTGAACTCGATTTTTTTTAGCGCTCGTCGCGTTACTTCCTAGCGAAATTAACGGTACACACGGCTGCTTTTTCAGCGATTCCACACGCATCGTATTAGGAATAGTCTCATTATACACGAGCGGTGAAACAATGTTTTCAACGTGTTGATAATCTGAAGACTGTTAATCATCTCCTTCATACTTACTTAATTAGCTTTACGTGTACGCCGCGTGTCTGGGTATGACTTCCAGGGTATGCTCGCGACGCGACGCGAACGAACGACTCTCTCGCTGTAATCCAAAAAGACAAAAAAAAGAAAAGGAGAAAATACGAAAGAGCTTGATCTCTGCGATCCGTCGCTATCATCATTAACTGTTCCACCAATTCGGAGTTATGCGCTGTTAAATATGAATTAAATATGAAATATATCTCTCGCAGTTCGACGGGACGACGCCTACACGAGGGACGGTCGGCGTTACGGACAACCTTAACAGAATTCTCACGTCGCTCTCCGACGCGATAATTTTAATTAGCATTAATGAAGGAAGCTGTGCTCCTTTGTTCATTTATTCACTGACATTTTCGTCATTTTATCAATTGTACCTCACCCCCCCCCCCTCTGCAACGATTGTAAGGCTTCCACCACCGTGCTTATCGCCATTAATTAAGTGTACGTATTTTACATACTCCTCCTCCCCCCCCCTCCTCACGTAACGTTTAATGAACGCACGTTCTGGTGAAATGGAAGAAGTAAACGCCGCGATGTGTACGCGACGGCCTCTCGCGAATTCAAATAGCCCGGTGTCTTTTTGTTCAATCTAATCTGCCGCCATCGCCACGTGGCATTACGAGGGAGCGTCTAGAGACGCGGAAAGGTTACCAAAGCTTAGATAGGGAGGATGAAGTTTTTAGTTTGCTACTTATTCGTAATTTCGCGTATGGGGTAGTTAGTACCTTGTTTCTCATTCAGGCGAAACGATCGAAGATGAGAGAGATTTTTACTGTTCTTGCAACGACACTGCCAGCTTCTTCCTACGCACTAGATCACTCGGCAACGTCTTTTAACCCCCCCCCCCCCCCCNACTCGTCTACGAAGTCTTCTCATATCGTGTATTCTATTTGTAATCAGCCTGTTTTTTATTGATAGTGATGGTGACGATGATGATGATGGTGATGATGATAATGAAAAGAAAGTAGCAAATAAATGTTTTTCCATTCAAGGACTGGTCTCTTTTTATTTATCTCACCACACGACATTGTTGATTATCCTTGTCAAAATTATTTCTCACTTGGCTTGAATGGAAAAACCCATTGCGTGCGGCGAACTAGCGACTAGTCCAGAGACCTCGAGGACTATCTCAAAAAAAAAAAAAACATGTCGATGATAGAGAAAGAGAGCGGGGGACAAAAGCTCCCCGTAAATTCCGCCCATTTCTCTCCGGAGCACCCGTGGCTCTGAATTTTTATTTTTGTCTCGTTCTTTTTCGGATTTTTTTGTGCCGCATCATCTGTCCTCACACACGGAAGGAAGCGTACCACATTTCATTGTTTCGATTCATTTATTTATTTATTTTTTTCTAAACATTAACATATTCGCATTCATTTGGTTGCTCTTTTTGTTTCTTTTCATTACGTTTATATTAATTTTTCCATTTCAATTGCCAAGAGTGAAAGATGATTATCCGTCGTTCCCGCGTCGCCCGGTTGATGTCGTAAGAGCCATTCCTCCTTTCATTGAAATGACATTCTTGAACTTTGACTGATCGTTAAGGCATCAATCTGACGAGTATATCCTATATACGACTCGATCCTTGAGAGAGACACACTGCCTCATTTATTAATATTGCAATTCCAAGAGACTGCAAAATATAATGTATTTCTTCTCTAACAGGATAACGTGATAAAAAAAAAGAAAAAAGAAAAGCGAGACTTCCCGAGAATGTCGGTTTGCTACTTAGTTATCACACTTAGTTATAACAAATCAAAATAAATTAAGATAAATAGCTATCTTAATCTTAACAAGTCATTATGCGAAATACGCGCTTCAAATGTCAACGCGTGGTAACAATGACTAAAGTCGATATTTTGCACATTATAATTTTTCTTTTTCAATTGTTCCGTATCGAGCTGAAAGTGCTCTTGTCTCTTTGCTTACGCGAGACGGTATATTTCAATTCCCTATATCCAAGTTTTTCCCCTGAGCCATGTCATTATCATTATTATTATGATGACGGAATTGATATCATTATCATAGAGGAAAATACGCGGCGCGCACAAAAAAGTCCCGTTCGTATATTTAAGGAGAGAAAAATCCACATTGACGAACAAGACGAGCGAGCATTAGACACGCCAGTCGGATAATTTCGTGAAGCAGCTCGAGTACTTCCTTCGGGCTCTAACTGCGCAACCCGTCCCGTCGTTATTACGCTTTTTGGGCATAAAATTACGTCGAAAGTAGCCTTAGAGAACGTGTCGCAGGTCGACGCATGGTGGGTATAAAATACAATACATACTGTGATCATTGAAAACGTGTGCTTTGCGATGCAACGAGTGCTCTTCTTCTCTGTCTACGACTGTTTTTTTTTCCTGTCTCTTGTTTTCCTCGGCGAGCTACTTGCACGATTGAATGTACTGACCGAAATGTTGCCGGCGAGTTTAAGAGAGACGTTTTTGATTTTTTTTTTCTTTTATTTCCTCCTTTCGTTTTTTTCTCCCTTTGAAGAACTGGTTTTTTAGACGAATATTATGCTATCCCCACCCCTCATGACTGCTTTTGGATTTGTGTACGAACCTTTGAACCTGCTGTATATCGAAAGAAATAGTAAGGGAGAGCGAAAGCAAGAGAGAGAGAGAGAGAGAGAGAGAGAGAGAGAGGCGGTAAAATTCTTTTTTATACATACATATACACACACGTACACGTACATACATAATTGACAAAAAAGCGGACCCTAGTGTGCAAAGTGGGCAGGATGGGCGACGAGTTGACGACGCACGGCGCAGGCAGGAATGTTGGCGATTTCTTTTGCAGTTCTTTTTCATGCATTATGTTTTTTCTGGTGCTCTCTTTCAGCCTCGGGTGCGGGCGGCCAAGAGCGAAGGGTCAGCATGCGGTTGCACCGTAGGGACGCGCTTCTCGCTGCTGCGGGAGAAATGCAGCCCAAGTCCAAGTGAGTTGCTACACGATATAGAACGACCAAGTCCGCTAAACGACTGGGGTATAACTTGCTCTACTGAGTTCCGCGCGGATGCTTGTGAGGAATACCGTAAGCTCACAAGAAACAATGCTCCGATGTTAGTCAGTTTCCATTGAAGCCGTTAGCGCCACTTCGGTCGTTTTAATGCAACGTGGATAAGGGGGTTCCCGGCGCGCCGGGAAGAATCGCCTGTAACTTCCTTTTCCTCGGTCTCTCTTCTTCGTTCATTCGTTCACACGTGCGTGGAGTGACGTTGAAATAGATCGCCGGACTTTGCAGTTTTCCTTTGAGAACGAGATTTGGATCCCCACTTGTCGAATCACAAGCACAAGTAAGTGATGGAGTTTTCAAACGATTCTTTCCCCAATGTGACAGTTGAATTAGTTATGAAGATATTCAATACCGAGAATTCGAAGAGAGATTGAAAGGAGAAAAAAGAAAACCAGTCTAAATCGAGGTCGAGATTTCGCAAGGTTTTGGCGATTTATTTTAGAATCACCTCTCGCACACCGAGCTCATCCCGTTGATGAAAGTTCAGAGCTTGTTACGTTAGAGGATGCATGAACGTTGCACACGTTTTTGGGGGAAGATTGCATTCTAAGCCTGTTTATTTCCAATCTTTGTTTATATTTGTGCCGGGCTCAGTGGCTATGTGTAACACCAAGTATGAGAATCCGCAACATAATAATATATATATATATATATATATATATATATATATCGCGATATAAACTCTCGAATTTCACCGGTCCTATTTTCACAGCTCTCAAAGTCAAGTTTCACGATTCCGTCGATGCGCGATGACCCGGTTTTCAAATAGCAATTTGTGCGTGTGTGTGTGTGTTATGCTTTGTGTAACGCTGAGTCGTGTCTCGTACACCGGTTAGCTGCATATCTTCGTTTCGGTAGGGTGGTGTCGCGATACCGTGGCATGGTGCTCTGATCGATTATGTTAATTCGAGAGAGAAATGGAGATCGGGAGAAAGGGTGGAACGTGTTTCCCTTCGTTTGGAAAGAATTCTCGACACGACACGGTGACAACGAAGCGCTCTCTGTGCGTGCGCACAGAGATGAGAACAAAAAATTAATCTTATATCAAGAATATAAAAATCTTAGGGGATTCTTAGTCTTGATGTGATTGAATTTGTGTTGATGCAAGTATCATTTGCACTCAGTTCAAGACTGAAAATCTTCTAAGAATATTATAATATTCGTTTACGGGATAATTTTGTTTACGGGAGAAAGCACACATATACATTTAGTATATATTAATTTTGTAAAACTAATTGCAGATGAACAGACACGAAATTAAATTCAATATATAATAAGATATATGAGATATAGAGAACTTAAAATAAATAAATAAATCATTAATACTTTAAGAGATAAAAAAGAAAAAAACAAATATAAGGCATTTATAGGATGATACGCAATAAAAAAAATGTCTATTCTTGCTTATATATATAAGAATATTTATCGTTGATTTAAGACCACTTTTTTGTGTGTGGTTTTTGTGAAAAATATCGAACAAAAGGTAATATTCAGTAAAATACCTTGAAATCTGATGAGACATTCTCTCCAGATGAAAATCGGGAATTATTATTGCTTGCCCTCGTGAATGCACTTTTGTATAATTATTCTCTTATTTTTAACGGATTAGAATATGATTAACAAACTGATCATAAAATGCAACTCAAAGTATAATTTTCTTAGCTCCTACCTAGATTGACGAATCTTATTTACAGTTGCTAATGGCTTTATGACGGTTCAATCAGCTGTACGTTTTTAGACTACCGAGCGATCTCATGTGAATATGTAATTTTTCCAAGACTTCCTGTTTGTAATGAGTCACATTCTGTAGTTTGTTCGTAATCGTCAAATTTAAGTCTGACTATTCTTCACCACTGTTGGGATGCCCGAGCATTGAGAATGTACGTCGAAAATGAATATAAAATCTAGTGACTTCGAAAGTTCGAAGAGAATTGCAGCAGTAGTTGAAAGCGAGTGAATTTCTGAAGTGACATTCAGCTCAATCTTCGTTCGGGTTATCTAATTTACGTGTGCCTTTCTATGAATTTTCAATATGTAACGTTGAATAACAAAATATTTGCAATATTGAATAATTTCATGGCGTGGCATACGAATTGAACGGGGAATTATTTTAGCGTGCTTCGCAACTGGGATATTTTCTAGGACACGTTGTACGTTTCTTCACGAAGTGAAGACTTTCACATTTGCCTTTCAAGACTCGTAATGCTAAGCCATGGCAATAAGAGCGTAACGAGTCAGAGAATAGCCGGACGACCCGGCTGGCTATTGCACAACTCTGCTTGGTAACTGGTTAATCCACTTTTGAATATCTCGAAGCATAGACTTGGATTTATAGAGCTCGGTGTGCAACACCATCGTGCCATCGTATTCCGGTAAATCGGCTCCACTTGATCAAATATCAGGCGTAATCAAATTCGTGTATCTTTTTTTCGCATTTTGTAATTATTAAATCCGTTACGAGACACGGTTTTTCTAACATTTCACTTGAATAAAAAAGATCTCTGCGGGATTTGTCGTCACATTTTCACCGGGAAAATTACACCGGGGAAAATGATATAGTTTTTTTCTTACATCGGTTTTTAAAATAATGGTTTTATTTTTATGGCAACGTCCACACACACACACACACACACACACACACACACACACACACACACACACACACACTGTTACAATTTTAACTAGTTCTTGTTGAGTGCGCTCTCCCGTGACAGGCATTCCTTCGGGTAACTATGCACGCGATTATGCACGTTTCTGAAGCTCCAGATTTTGCAAACATATAATCCACGACAAAGATTCTCTTGATCCCTGAGAGTATAGAA